ACGTTAGGTAAAGTACTGGTTAAGCAGGTACTAGAGCACATCAAATTAATTGGGGCTGATCAAACGTTGCGGAGTTGTAACACGCACCCCTACATTACCTTGGATTGGGTGCTTTTGTCACAAAGTTTTGATGGTATGATGCACACTGACAAATACGATTGCAAGGATTCCATATGGATGATGGACTGGTTAGGCAGACCTGAAAAATAAGAAACAAAAGCGAGCGGCAAGAGGAATTCGAAACCGAGCACAAAGATACTACGCAGGAGTGGGTCAACCATGATACCTCTGGGTGAGTTATTAGTACTGACTACAGAAGTTGCTTGAAGAAGTATCCAAAACCAACTGTTAGAGGGAGGAAGATGAAGATGCGCACGAAAGTGGTGGAAACTAAACTGAAGCTGAAGATATCACTATGGAATAGGAAGAGTAGAGCATTTTAGGCCAGGCATTCGCCTATGTGTAAAAAACGTATGTACAAAAGTTAAATGAACTTATAAATATTTAAGTAAAACTCATGGTTTTTGCTAATATGCCAACCACACTTTATATAGTCATGGGGGGAGGATGATCATGTTGTTGCCCGTTGAGTGTTACCACATCAGGGCTATAGAGACCATGTGGTGGTGCAGAGTGAGCTGCGCTAGTAGACCTGGCGGACTGATAATAAGAAGTAAATAGTGAAACACGCAACATGCTTAAAATATCCACCGACAAGCAGTTCATTTATCAGTCAGGGGTAGAGAGATTATCTTAAGGGGAGAATTTTAAGAAATAGGTGTTAAGTCGAGAGATCAGTTAGGTGATGAAGAAACGGAGGTTGCATTAGAGTAGCTACAGAGTTCACTTTTGCAAATCGTATCTCACACCGCTTCCTGTCCACTGTAGTTCAGTTTTTTTAAATAAGATTTAATCTTTACCTGAGCGTTTAGCTTTCGGCATTGCATACTTTTGTCGTTGCTGTTAGTTTCCCTTGAGCCTAGGTACCAATTGCACCATTGTACATGGTATTAAGGTTTGTGATTTGGTCCTCAACGAATTGGCGAGAATCGTTAGATAATGAGTTTGCTCTTAAGTCTCAAGCGAAGAAACAGACATTTCAACCACAAAGTCGATATACTTAGATTGACAATCGCGCTTGAGTTTCATTCGTTAACTTTTTTCAGAGCCCACACTAATGCGAAATAAAAACTTGGAAACTGCAAGTGAGGATAGTTATACTTTACTTGCACCTCATTTCAGGAAATGACAGGCCATCATCGCGCTATTTCACGGTCCTCCAGATTCCGGGCAATCTAATACTTTTGCACGACACCACTCGAAAATCAGTCGATCAAGCCTAACTGGATCACTGGTCACCTAGCAGGAAGGTGTTTCAAAGACTTCTGCAACGGACACATCCCAAAACCGGCTCTCTTGGTAACGAACTTCAACACCCGCCGCTAACAGGTCTTGACACAACAAGTCTTGCTGTCATCTAGCCCCCTCTGCACGAACGCGCCATTAGTAACTTCGGGTAACACGCAAAAACTTTTGGGTTCCAGGTAAGAATGATACCAATGAGCTGAATATATAAACTCTTGCGAGCCTACTTGAAGCACTTCAGTCGAAAGTGGAATCTTTGCACCATACCCATAACAAGTGAACAGTGCGGTGTTTTTGGACAAGTCAGTTTTATCCCGCTGCTATTCACCCCCTTCCCTTTTCGCCACTGTCAAGTCACGCAGGGATCTTCCCTCACGGTGACCTACAGTAGACAGATTGGACACTGAAGCAGCTGGGGTCTTAGCTGCTTTTCGCTTTTGATCTGATTTGGACTGTTCAGATCATCTCAAATCTAATCCCTTTGCCCATCGTGCAACTTGTTCAACTCTGTCAGGTCAACTTTTGACCCTGAAGTTTGCGAAATAACCTGAACTTTGAATTCAGACAAGTGTGCGTCCCACTGCAGTAACGGGGTTTTCCACTTTCCCAGAAGTGGCATTCGAATCCAGGTCTGAAGAGAACTCATGTCGGCACAGATGGGAGGGCACTTAGTTGCGCATCAACGTGTAAACCGATTATCCTCGAAAATAGGAATGTCTTCAGGATCCTTTCCAGTTTTTCCCCCACTTCTTCCTGCTATGTGGAATACACTTTTGAGGGTCACAAAAGGTTTCTTCAAGGTGTAATATCAGGTCGGCTTAATTCTAACCGTTTCTTGCAGTAATATCAGACGGCATGCTGTGGCTCAAGCAGCCTCTGCCGTACAGTGTCTCATTAAGTATATCACTTAGCCTATCATGTGCTAGTATTAGTTCCCTTTCCTGTATAAAGTTGTGATGGTTCATTAGGTCATCGTCTAACGTCGGCAATTTCCAACTGAGCAGCCTGAATAATGGGCTTCTAGTAGTTTTGAGGAAATTTGTCGGGCAGTAACCCAACCTAATCACAGACATGTTCAGAATAACCGTTAATAATGTTGTGCATGTCGGAGTCATTACTTACTTCTAAATTTGCACCTATAGGAGCCCATCATCTTGAACGCCTAGACAGTGTTCTCCAAAATATTACCGCATACTTTTAAATAGTAATCCGTTCTCAGACAACTCGATTGTATTTGGGAAATGTCACACTTAAGATTATCCGGTGTGTTCTCAATGGCTTTTAGAACCAACGACTTTTACGAACAGGCTTCTAGAAGGTGCCACTCACACCACGAAACCTACTGTCCCGGTCTCCGATTACTTCCCATACAGTACAAAAACCTGAGCAGGTGGGTTGCAGCGATACACAGTACTTATGACTGTACAGTTCGTAAGACTACTTAGGAAATCAATCTACGCATTCGCTCGCAATATTTACCAGAAATGGGTACACCATTAACACGCAGAATCGTCCATCGACAACGTCGTGGGCAACCATGCAAGTGATTTCGGCATATGTGGCCAGGCTGCCGAAGAATATCATGACCACGGCAACCCCAAGAATGTGCTGCCTAGGGATACTGCGGCACAAGCCACCCATGAAGAAAGGTAGATAAGCAAAAATAAATGTGACGTTTCAATAAACTTCCGCGTCTCCCCATGGTTGCAGGGTTCAGCAACCAGCACTGAAACTAATAAACGCTGCTGCGGTAAACATCAGCTAAGAACTATATCCGAATATTTCTGAAGAGCCAGTCGCTCAAGTTGAAGCTACAGTCAAACACGAAGATGTATGGACTCAGAAAGCACAGGGTGAATAAACTTGGGTTGTTGAAGCAAAGAAGAGGAGGAAGTCCAGTCGAGAAAGGACATCTGCAAGAGTTGAGCGTGACAGAAAAGCAGACCCCGTTGTTCTGCCCCACCGCCCCCCCCTCATCATCGCGGAAAAAGACCTGGGAATAATGCTGACTGACAAACTAGATACCTGCTCCGATTGTCCACGAGGTACCTCCAGAGCCTACACAGTGCTGGACTTTGCGCGCAAAAGACCAGGGGCCACCACTCCGGAACCCCTTCTGAAGCCGTACAAGACCCGTTTACGACCACATTTAGAAGTTCACGACGTCACTGCATCACCACACCTTAGGAGGGATCTACACCTCCTGGAGAAAATCCAGAGGCGGGCAACAAGGGGGTGTTGTAGTAATGTGGCAAGGACTTTGTGAGGGCAGGCTGGAAGGACTAAGCCTGTATTTACCCAGCTACCGTGGGTTACGCGGTGGCTTACAAAATACAAAGTAATCCAAGTCACCTGAACAGTGGAATTCTGCCGAACGGCCATTGCGGCCATCTTCGCGGTAACGCTGTGAGAATCGCCAATTGGATGGCGGAAAACCGTGCGTGCTCACACCTCTTCACTCTGAAGGTTTGTGGCCGCTGGCATGCACTGACCGCTGATATGGCTACTGCTCAGTTTGTGGATAGCTCCAAGAAGAATTTGAACCGCAACGCAACGATGCACGGTTTGTGCTCATCCACCTGGGATACGGACTAGGCCGATACAACCCACTAAATTCATACAACCCAACCCAGTCGGCTGCACACCGAGTCTTTTATACCGCAATTAACATCGCGAACATGATTCAACCTTGTACTTCCCTGCAGAAGCCTCATCCAGTTACCATCCTTACTAATGGTATTACTATCTGGGTTCTCATGACCTCTTCTATAATCTTACTTTCTCCTTCTCTTCTCACCGACTCCATGAGTTCACAATATTACGAAGGCCCTCCTTATCACAGCTATCTCCCGTGAATATATCTAGGTTTTCATCCCGCTTCCCTTCACCCTGTTTTTTCTTCTTAGTCTACGTACGTCCCCTCCCTCGATTCCTCCGTACATCTTTTTCCTCTTTTTCCATTCCAAATTCAAAACGTTTTTCATTAGGACAGGCGTAAAACCCGAACAACCTATTTCTGTATTTCTACAATATGTGCCTTATGGAAGGCGCTGCCGAAAGAACTGGCCACAGCTACTCCAGTCAACTCCTTCAAACGACTGCTAGACGAGTATGTGAGCGCAAATGGCTTACCACGAACATTTGTAAGTAGCAACTGGTGATACGCCCTTCCATCCCTATATTCCCTTTTGTGTTCTCCAACCCTAGTATCTGCAGTAAGACGTACCTCTCCGCCGTATTATCACCAGTCACATTTATCTCTTCAGAAGTACTTTTCACTTCTCTTTTTCTCATTCCTCACTCACTCCGTTCCTGTCACTTTTTAAGTAACGCATAACACCTACTTGCAGGGGCCTACGACAACAAGAGTTGCGAACGGTTGATTGATCATATCAACAGTTCCATTGCCCCCCCTAAACAAACCACGCTACAATTTGCAAATAAAACACCTTCAAATAGACAAACACTACCTCCAAAGCCGTAAGTAGGAAAACTCAAAGGCTTCTGCGATCATCAAAGGAGTACGACGGAACAAAAAGAACGAAGTCTCAAGACCTGGAAGCGACAGCTCAAAACTACAAGTTTCTTCTACTCGCACTATTGATGTTGGACGTTGGATGTTGGAAATCGACTAGGTATTCTCAGAGCGGTGTTTGAAGCTGTTTGCTACCGTGCATTGTTGCTGGCTAGATTTTATATAGGCAAGTTCTTACACTAACGGACACTGCGATATTAACATAACGTATGCATTTTTTGTTCAAGCAGTCAATACACAAAAATTAGGAGAAATGCCGCGAGTGAAACCCTATTAGATATCCGGTTTCACTCTTCAGACTGCCTTATAAGGCAGAAAATATATTTTCTCATTCGTCGTTGGCAACCTTTATTGATTGTACTAGGTTGTACAGCGCTTGCACATTTTGTTCGCTTTTAATTTTTGTATGTACTCCACTTCTCTGTTACAGTTCCTATTTAATGGTTGGGTAGGCTAAGGCTCTCCCAGTCAACATTGCCGTCAAGCCAAATAGGGCAATGTTAGGCCATTCGCTATAGAAAACGTCGAGCCCAGGGTAGGGACGGGCGTGGGTTTTTGTAACATTTTCCCTACGTCTGGCTCTGAGATTTTACAAATGTCTCGACGTCTAACCCCATGTACTGCTTGTTGACCCTACATCCAGCACCACTGGCCACACGTTTGCCCTTACTAAAGCGGTAGTCTAACTTATTGCCCCAAGTGTACTACATCTAACTTCAGGAAAGGTACTGAGCAGATCAATTAACCCTTTGCAAATCCTGTTTAAGCAACTAATTGTGGGTAGGTATTAAGCGTTATCTAAAAAGTAGTGCCAGGAATAGGGTGGGTAGGCAATGAGAAGAGAGGAGCGAACAGTACTTATGGAAAATAAGCGTCCACAGTAATAATGATAAGTTGTAGGTAGTACTCCAGATGCTGTGGTTAAGTAATATGGGGATGAATGAACATACCTTCAATTCCCACCGGAGAATGCTGATGGTTAGCCGTTTGCCCTCACGTACTTATCGGGCAGTCGTTCGAAGTAGTCAACTGAGGCGGTTGTGGCTACTTCCTTCGGCAGAGGGTTCCATGAGGCACAGACTGTGAGAATAGTTAAATATGATTGATCTTTGCTCTCCGGTAGGGTATACGAGTGGATCTCCCGTTACTGTCAGCTCTAGACCGATAATGTTGTCCTGTTGGGGGTAGTTTACTTGGTGGATAATCTTGTGGGCCATTATCAGATCGTGTCTTTTCTTCTGATGGCTTAAGGTGAACAAGTCAATTTGTCCAAGGTGATGTGCGCATGTTTGGTCTGTCATTCCGACGACTGGCCCTTTCACCCCTCTCTGCACACTCGTGTTTAGATCTTTCTTTAATAGAGATGGGGTTATTGTGTTGAACACCTCTGAGTGCCGTCTAATATAAGTCTCATAGACCATGTAACTAATCCAGGGGTTGGAACTGTGAGTTGTCTTCTTAGGAAGTGTGTGATGGTGTTCGATTTTGCCACCGTTCTTTTGTTGTCGGCACTGGTACTCCGTGTTTAGTTTTGATTCTTCATGGACATTTTGGTGACTGTAATTGCCGAAGTTATGGCTAGTTTTCATTGCTTCCGGTATTTGAGGATACATCATTTCTCATGTGTCCGGGTTTGTGCTCAAACCATTCTCAGCTTCAAGATTCCAACTGAGGTAGAGCATCTTGGAATATTCTAGGGTCCTCTGCGATATTTTTTAGCTCTCCGCACTTTGATGTAATCAGCAAATAGGAGGATAGACGAGGAGGTTTGAACGGAGAGTCTTTTTATAAATTGTGAGAATAGAAGTGGCACTATGATGACTCCTTGGAATATTCCTCTTCTTGCTATCCTCCAGGCTGACCTTATTCTGTTTCACCAAGATCATCATAGGACCAGGCATTACTTCTTGACGGTTCAAGTCACATCTCATGTCAGCACATCAAGTAACAAGGCAATAAAATGGAAGATGAGGAAAGAAGTGAAAATTGGTCAAAAAAAAGTAAAAGTAGAAAGTAGTAAAAGAGAGGAAGGAAGTATAGAGGTTAAGATCAGGATAATGTGTGTATGCATCTGCGCCACCGACGTCTATTCTGAGTCATATCTCCTAGTCTCCAACCACTGATTCCTCCTGTGCCGCGGACTCCAACCGGCTAGTGTGCATCGCCTTACATGGCTTAAACGAGTAGTCAAGGACTTCATGTATTGATGCCATGTTCTAGTTAGGCTGCGCTGGGCCTTTTTCTGGCCTGAGCCTACTTCAGCCAACATTACGACGAGGCAGGCCGTGGTTAGGCATACGCTACATATGTCTCAGTCAATGAAGGTTCACATCCGCACCAACTGTCTTACCTCTCCTACTTAGAACTCTACATCTGACTTCAGCGTTACTCACGTGGTGACACCGCGAAACACGACCTATGCTACAAAGGCAAAGTTGGTCAAACACCTGAAACCTCATGTCTTCTACTTTTTGTGTCTGTGTTTCACAGCCATACAGTGGAACAGAGCGGGCTGCAGCATATTACACTCAACAGACAATCAAATATCGGCGGCGGCGCCACAGATGGCGTAAATTTGCAATGTGTCCGGAAGACTCTGCATCTTGTCAGCTTTTTCACCCATAAGGATTGTCATCGGCGTATTCTAAGCCAACCAAAAATTTTCCTCTGTAGCCAGATGACTAGGAGGAAATCTTCATAGAAACATCTGTGATAAAATTGAATAAGAATGGAGAGAGTGAGCATCCTTCACGGACACCATTCGACGTACACAACTCACCCGACATCTCACAATAAGATCTAACATACCGACAGGTGTTTGAGTAAAGAGCCTTCAATAGGGTGATATGCTTACTTGGTACCCCTTTCAATAAGAGACGTTGCCATAAGACTTTTCGATCGATGAAGTCGAACACCGCCTTCACATCGGAAAATACTACTATTATCAGGCGTTGGTAAGCGTGCCTATGTTCGAAGACCTGATGGAGTATAAATATTTGATGCATACACCCACGGCTAATGCAAAAAACAGTAACCGAATGCAGGGGTAAAAGCGTACTAAAACTAATCAGGCTTTCCCAGACTTCAAATTATTGAATGCCATAGTGATACAGTCTGTTAGGCGTTTGGTCCAGTAGACGGATCGGCGGATACATGCAGACGACGCTTTGTCACTACTGCCAGTAATTCCTTCGTTGGCAGAGTCTCTCTTTTCAAACCAAAGTGTCTTCATTTTCTGTAGCAATGGTTGCACTGATGATCCTAGTGTATTAAGGGTTGGATCGTCATCAGCATAAGCTGCCCTTAAACGGTTGACACTTATGGTGTCTTACCGTCCCAACTTATCTATGGTAAGGAACTCCTTCCTACCGACAACCCCGAAAGGTCCATCTTATGGTATTTGTAAGGGTTTCCGTACAGCGTCACAACGCACAAAGACGTGTGTTCAATCTTGAAGCCTTTTATCTCACTATACCCGTCTACATTGTATTCGTTTAGAGACGACGTATGCAAAGCTTAAGGGTTTGAGTGTAACCTTGGATGTCAATAGGAGTCGGGCCATTTTAATCTGGAGCAACCAGTTCACCGGACAATGGTGGGTTACTTTCGTAAATCAACTCGGCAGGAGTACACTATTTTTTCGTCTTAAGTGTCGAATGAATGCTGAGAAGAACCAGCAGTAAAGATTCAGTTCATTTTGCATTGTCGAATACCATTAGTGAAGTCTTAAGTTACCGATGAAAGCATTCTACTAAACCGTTAAAAGCTGGACGATATGCAGTGGTCCGAATGCTTTCTCATCCCAACATTCATCAGCTTCTGGAAGGTAACAGGTTCAAATTGTTGCCCTAGATCACTTGTCACTGTAGAAGGGCTTCCATTCTGAGAAACTCATCTTTCGACGAATACTCGACTGACTTTTAGCGGTAATATCTGCCATTGGGTTGGCCACCGGTCATCGAGTGAACCTATCGACACAGGGTTATATGTAGGAATAACCGTCAAATGCTGTAAGTCGGCCAATAATGTCTAAATGGACATGGGAAAACCGTGAGTCTGGCTTGGCAAAATTACCAAGTGTTGTAACGTTATGGCGGTCCACTTACTAAACTCGGTATGCTCCAGTATTCACTTAGCCATTAGCTTATCCAGCAGCATTTCTATGCCAAAAAAGCTCACTACAAAATTATAACGGGCTTCCAATTTTTGGGCAGTTGACTTTATTCCAACGAGTGTGTAGACAGATTGCGTACGGACACGCTTAGCATTTTGACACAATCTCGTAGGACCTTATGTCGTCACAGCCTAGGGATTTTCCTATTCTGAATTTGGACAATTTAGCAGACATTTGTTTTAGCGAAATCTTTACGTTCGTCAGCTTTGTATTCACTCCTGGAACTCTGTAACATTTGTGGACATTGGTGGTGGACAGATTACTGTATTGAGCTATATGTCTGTCAGTTGCTCAGCAGTTCCGCTATGACCATGCCGCTCACCCTGCAGTCCTGTGACAAGGTTAAGACCTTTTTATGTCGGTTTTCTTTGTTCGATCAATCGATATAGACTTTTCGAGTTGTAACTTAACTGTTGGGCCAAATTACTCAGATATTTGGACGTGTGGTTGCGATTTTTTATGCTACTTAATTTGCGTAACTTCTTGTAAATGATACAGTAAATTACATTCAAGTTCAGCATTAAAACAACTGACTAATCGGATGAGCAACTGCAAATTGTATGATTGTTAAAATGTCAGCTACTGGGTCCCCTTATCAGTGGCGGCACTGTGAAGAGAATCTACTAGGCGATAAATTTTTGTTTTACAAGTTATTAGGAGGTGATATTTTCCTTATAGTACTGGGGTCTAGGAGTCTAAATGTGATGATATGAGGTGCCTAGTGTATATATACATCTTCTAAAAAACTAACAAAACGATCTGCAATTAATGCCTTCGTTGAAATTTCTTTTTCTTGTGACCTCAAAATGATCACATACGTCGTAAAATTAATGCTTGACTACCTCCGTGTACGTCAGGTCAGGTCAGACTTAGGCAAACTTGTGGTCACTCTAACCCATCATGACTCCTAGCAGACTGATATATAACGTAAGAATATGATGTTAACTTTTAAGAATCATCTCAACTCGTGTACTTTTTATCCCTTTTTTTCTCAAATACCAAGGATGGTTGTTTTTTGTATTGATAGAATGCCCCGTACATGATTTTCACATTCTGTAATAAATGCGATAAAACTAAACCGTAGAATGTACATTTACCACTTAGAAACCCATCCGCTAATTTGGAGTAACTTTACTTGCTTTGGGCTTCGTCTGAGGTAGCTGAATTACCTGTGAAGAGTACGGCAACACCCTTCTATGTCGTCGTCATTATGACGAGAATTTATTCTGCCATTGTTATCTTCTAACACTCCATTATTTATTACAATTGATTTTGATATTATGTATGCACAATGATCAGATTTTCAAGTTTTGGTAATACTTCGAGTAAATTCACTGCCCATGATCACATCAATATTTGGAGATTTTCATCACATTCAGAGACTTCATGTGTGATCTCGATTTGTCAGTTTGTTTATCCTATACACTGTTCCATGTGACTGACAACCAAGCTGAGCCACTTTTATCCTATATATTTGGTTACACATGTATTGAATGAACAGATGTCACACCGAACACATGCAACTCCTGATTTATAAATAGACGGCAATGTGATGGGATGTGTTGACATTGTAAATAACTGAGGGAGCAGGTGGTTGCTGGGTGCGTTTCCATCCTTCTTTGCACCATACAAAAAAATTCTCTCTGCTCCATAGCTATGGAGCTGCTACCTTGACGTAGTGGTCGGGCTTGCGTATCACAAGGACCCAACGAACTGTGCTGGTGAGACACTTGTTCCCTCGAGGTCCTACCAAACCAGAAAGGTCTGCTGGATAGCGGTTAGAAGAAAAGCAGTTACCGTTGTGGTGTAAATTACTACACTATGATGGGGTCTGAGGTGAAGTCGTACTGCTGCTAGCTGGGTGGGATGTGACATCAGTAAGATGTTTCCCTTGGATAACCAGCAGTGCCGTGCTGATGCTGCCTTCCCAGTGGAAGGAAGGGTTAGAGAAGGTCGGCCCCAAAAATAACACTCCACCATGCCCCACAGTCTGCCAGGCCGACGGTGTTGGTTCATTTGTCGTTTCTTTTCGACCATCCGGCCCCAAATATACAAAAGTTCAAAATAATCATGCACAAAAGGCTACGTGTGACAGGCCTGAAGCAGATGTCCGATGGGCTCTGCGGTCACACAAATCTCTTTCAGGTGATTTAAGAAGAAATAGCCTTCCACGGTGTGGGCAGCCGGGAAGTGTCAACCGCCCTCACAACTCTGTCAGCACTCAAGCTATGGAACATAGATTTCGAGGTCGAAAGATCCTATATTACAGCCTTTTAATATGCCTATTTTCGTAGCGATGCGTCCACATAATAGAACCACAGTGAATAGTGTTAAGGTTTAACGCACGGTAGTAGTTGCAGACAAATTAGCCTATTGTTATCAGCTTTAACTAGGTTGATTGGGACATATCATACTCATGCCGAAGCACTATCAACCTGGACGCGCAACTAGATTGGAGTAAATCCAGGGTTTGTTGAATTGAAACATGACACCATTTCACATATTAGCTGATTGAGACATATAGAGAAGTGTGGGCTACCTCGAGATATTTGTTTATGTTTCTAAATTGTTGTTGTAATCAATTGTTTCATATAGCCTCATACTTCATAAAAGGGTTTCCTCTATGCAGTCATTTCGCATCGCTGACATTTGTTACAACGATTGTGATTAATTGTAGTTTTTCATTTTCAATTGAGTATAGTCTATTTGTACTTCACTTCCCACTTCTAATTTATTCGTTGTACGTAGTAGATGCCATCCTAAGTTTTTAAGCTGTTAAGTAACTTTCTCATGATTTTTTTCGCTCCTGTGAAATTCATCGTGTGATCTTTTATAGGAATGGATAATCAGCCGTCATTGTTACCAGTTATCGCCATACTTCTCGCTGTATGGAGCGTTTTATTCGGATTATCTTTCCATCAAATTGATGAAGGTTGCTTTCAGAATACTTTCTTAATAAGGGGATAGGTCATGTTGGAGTATACTATCGTGGAGGTGCTTTACTATCTCAAACAAATGGACCTGGATATCACTTAATGATTCCTATCATAACAACATATAAACCTGTTCAGGTATATAGATTGAGTAGTTTCTTTACTGTATATACTGTATACTGTATATTAGATTACTTTGCAAACCGATGAAGTAAAGAATGTTCCTTGTGGTACAAGGTAATTTTCATGTCATTGAGCTATATTTTATTCCATTAACAATATATAGTATTGTGTTTTCAGTTTGTATTTGTCTGACTCCTGCAATTCTGTCTCATTTTGAAATATAACGTGTAGTGAAGAGAAGTGCAACTCAGCAACAATACTCAAACTTTTTTAGTAGGTGGTTACAAGATACACCTAATCTGTGGCTACTAAGACGTTGGTCGAAGAAAAGTCGTAATCCTCTCAACAGCCTTGTGCACATTCAAACAGTAAACAGTGAACCACACTAATGATATCAGATGGCTGCCCAAACCTTGATAGGTGGGAATGAGTTCGAAATCGTAACACGGCGAATAAAAATCAAGTGCCTAGATGGATAAACTACAGCTCTACAAGAAGCCTTAGTAGACGGATCACTCTTCAAGTAACTAAACTAACCATTAGTCACATTGTCATACTCTCAGAAAGCAGTAGCATATTAAAGTTAATATTCACTAGCGATCAGCAGCATCTTGTACACATAGCAAAACTACTGAATGGCATATGCAACTGTTAGCCGATAGATGTAGTAAATAAATATTTTGCATAGGACACGCACATTTAAATCCTTACCAAACAATTCACCATTATAAAATCTGTATTTACACATGAATGTTCCTCTAACCTAATTCGAAAGTACTTAGTTATAACACTTACACTGATTTCGCTAAATTATTTACCATGCTTATTTTAAAATTGCTATAAATGAATCAAATATAAACTATCACTTCAGAAATGAACTGTTTTTCATACACATTAGTGCATATTATCAACCTCATATGATTCGAAGATTGGTTATCATAGTCATAAAATATCACTTACTGGATCACTTTTCAAGCAATTTTTTTCTATTATTCATAGCAAGGGGATTTCACAACCTGCTTCCATTTTTATGGACCTAATGCTCTGCATTCTTTTATTTTAACAGTAATAGGATTTTTAATATATCCAGGATTGATGTTAAATCATTCTTACTGCACGTATTGTGAGTTGATTTTATGAACAAAGCTTTATGGGTCAGCCTCTCCATCTATCAATCTATAACAGTATGGTTGTATTGAATTCCTTCTTAGTTGTGTGGCAATCATTGATGATGGTACTTGTTCTCCTTTCTCGTGAATTTCTGAGAGAGAGAGCGACTCCTCTCTCATGTGTTTGACTACTTTATTTAGATTTTCTGCCTCACTAGTCAAACTCAGCCAAGTTAATGGTGCATTTAGCCAAGCTTACTTGAACTAATGTAGGGTGGTGCGATTTAAGTTTTGATATCTATTAGGACGCTATGGTTTACTGCATATTCTATGAGATAAAGATGTTGACCAGATTCAAAACCTTCTGTTTACCTTAAGTGGCAATTTGGGGATTTTTTTAGATGCATTCCTCGCCATCCGAATTCGAGCTCTTGCTCTATGACTTGTCTTTGTTGATGTATTGTCTAACATTTGGAAGTGAAGTGGTTGAGAGTGTTGACCACTTCACCTACTCGAGAAGTCGGATCAGTCTTGGTGGGTCAGTGACTGACAAAGTCTCTGCTTTGATGCCAAAAGCTCGCTTTGTTTTTATCACTTTGCACCGTCTATAGCACCACCGTGATATGCGATTACCTATTAAAGGTCGAGCGATCTGCGCTGCGGTCCTTTTTGTTCTGCTATATGGTTATGAAACATGACGATTGAAAATGGAGAATGTAAGAAGACTTCAGGATTTTGACCATCATTACCTTCGTAGCATAACCTTAGTGGAGCCACCACTTCACTAAAGTAGAACTCAGGAGTATAGTTTTAGGCAGGACAAATAAGTATAGCAAACTGGACCGTCGTGCAGTACTGCTAAGGCCTACATTTATTCTGACTAATACACTGATATCAAACGATCATCTGGTTTTTGTTTCATTTTGCAATATAACAGTTAGTTAGTTATCCTTCTTCATTATCCCACTCGAAAGTATTTTTGTTTTTATCTACCACCTAGTTGGTGTGACAAAACTATGTATGTATCGTGACTTCAATGCGTTAATCACGTAATTCATACATTTTAGGAGTGGGATTAAACTCTGTAAGAGTCTTACACCCTAAACTTCTTGTAACCATATCTACTAATTCTGGAATGTTGATGCTGCCATTGCCTACTCCTTCTGTTTGCTTATATTTTATTTTTTAGTTTGAAAACTGTAAACGCAATATAAATTCCCAAAGTAGCGACATCTTAGGAAGTCGAAATCCACTCAGCTACCTTGTGCACATTCGTGTGGTAGGCAGTGAGCTGCATGTAGTGTGTAAAGGCTACTGATACTACCTGGCTGGCCAGAACTTGGTTTGTGGAGCGGTGTTCTAACCCATGGCCCAGCAGTTGAAAGTCAACTCCTTAGACCAAGCAGCCACAACTCCACCGACATATCAGATCTACGAGCCAGATCAGATCAATGTCTAGTTGATTTCTTTCTGTTTTGAGGGCTATATTAATTGGTGTATTAGACTCTTTGCATCAAAATGAGTCAATTTTCATCTTGTTTCCTCTGAATATCATTTAACTCTTACATCATTTCTTATAAATTGTATAGTTCAAAGCTTTAGCGGTTTCTAATAGGCATATTGTTGGCATTGCCTAGGATGTTTGATAAAACGGGGATAAAGATAATGTTTAAACCTTTAAATTTACTCAGAGACAGTTTATCTACTTAACAATGACATTGACACAACTAAATGAAATAATCCCATCTACCGAATACTATGCAATGATTGTAAAGTCAAGTATATAGGCTGAACCAGTCAATCGTGGTCAGCCAAGCTTTCACAATATATCAATCTAAGTTGACAGATCTCATTGAAACAACTAATCTTAAGGAGAACTCAAACGTTTTTATCCACACACTGATACACAGCAGAGTAAGATGGAGTAATATTTCCAAAGACTAAAATAGGTGAAGAAAATGGTTGACTATTGAAGCCTTATTCATCTAATCGTTGCCTAACACGTTCAGTAAGAATGGTTCGACATCAGTCCCATATATATTGAAAAATCGACTGCTAAATTTAAAAACAGTGGAGCAGTAGGACTAAGAACTGAAGCGGCAAGTTGCATAATCTCCTCAATGTGAATACTGGCAAAATATCATTCAATAATTAATTATACTATATCACTGTATACTTCACCGAATGAGCCTATTTCTACCTCTGATGTATATCGTGACAGCTTGATACATCAGTATTCATTACAGACTCTTATCAGCTGAGGAACTACTGAAAATCTGGGAGCACTGGATAGCTATTTCTTTCTAGTACGGGACTCCTCAGCAGTACACACTCACGACCCGGCCAGGGTTCGAACTCAGGACCTTCAGGTTCCATGGCGAACGCGTTAACCAATCAACCACTGGGTTGGTTTTCAGTAGTCCACAGTTTCTAACTTTTGCGATTCACAGCATAGCGCAAGTCTTCAGTTGGCATCCGCTATATCGTGAATTGACAGAAGTTGGAAACTGTGAACCACTGAGAATCGATCCAGTGGCTGAATGGTTAACGTGTTCGCCGTGAAACCTGAAGGTCCTGAGTTCGATCCCTAGCTAGGTCGTGGGTGTGTACTGTCAAGGAGTCCCTTACTAGGACGAAACAGCTGTCCAGTGCTCACAGATTTTCAATGGTTCCCCAACTGATATCAGTCCGTGATGAATACTACCTATTAATTAAAAAAAGCCATTCTTCTCAAAAATAACAGTAAATTTGTTATTTTCTCTTTTCCATTCATTTTTCAGTGGTGGAGTGGTTATTTATTTTGATCGTGTTGAAGTGGTTAACTATTTGTCAGCTAACAGCGGTAAGTTTGGGTATGATGTCTAAAATCAGTACCATAACTTGTTCCATAGAATCAATTACATGGTGCATTTATAAAATTTGAATTTGTATCGACCAAATATTCACACTGCTCCAGGTTCTGGAACACAGGCACACTTACGGACGCCCGACACTAGTTGTATTTCTCGACCTGAAGGCAGCATTGAACTTTATTGATCAAGAAGTCTTATGGCAATATCTCTTACTGAAAGGCGTGCCGAGTAAGTATATCACCTTATTGAAGGCTCTCTACTTGAACACTTGTGGGCGTGTTAGAGCCTATGGTGAGATGTCCAGGTAGCTATGCTCACCGATTGATGTCCATCAAGGTTGCCCACTGTCTCCATTCTTATTCAATTTTGTCATAGAAATTCTTATGGAGGTCTCCTCGTCACCTGATTACACAGAGGTTGACCTAATCGGTAGAGAATTTTCGTCAGTCCTAGGATATGCAGATGGCATACTCCTGTCAGGTAAAGACGCCAGGAAGATGCAGAGTCTTCTGAACACTTTGAGTGGGAATTCGAGAATGTTTGGGATGCGGTTCCCACTACCAAAATGCAAATTTTTGCTTCAGGACTGGTCTTCAGCGGTACCACGGCTAACAATAGAGAGTGAAGTGGTTGAGTGTGTCGTCCACTTCACTTACCTGGGAAGTAGGATCAACCTTGGTGGGTTAGTTGCCGATGAAATCTCTGCACGAATACAAAAGGCTCAACTGGCTTTTGCCAATTTACGCCACTTGCACAGCAGTCCGGACTGTTCTCCTGTATGGCTGTGAAACATGGCTATTGAAGGTGGAAGACATGAGAAGGATTGAAGTGTTTGACCACCATTGCCTTCGTAGTATAGGCCATATTCCGTGGTGTCACCATGTGAGTAATGCAGAAGTTAGGTGTAGAGTTTTAGGGAGTAAAGGTAAGTTAGTTGACGAGGTTATGAACCTTCATCGACTGAGATGGTTGGAACACGTATTACGTATGCCTAACCGCCGATTACCTCGTCACACAATGTTGGTTGAAGTAGATTTAAGCTGGAAAAAGCCCGAGGTGGCGAGACAAAAACATGGTATCAATGTATGAAGTCTTTGACTGTTGGTTTGAGTCATGTGGGGCGATGCAGACTGGGTTGTTGGTGTCGGCGGGACAAGAGGAACCAGTGGTTGGAGACTCTAGGTGATATGGTTCAGAACCGATGTCAGTGGCAGAGATGTATACACATACATTATCGTCATCTTAACGATGCTATACCGAATCTCACCATCTTCTCTCTCTTCCTTTCTCTCTTTTCGTACTTTATATTTCTTTTTTACTGAATTTTCTTATCTTCATCTTGCACCTCACTAGCTTTTTATTTGATGTAGTCATATGAGCTGTGGCAACTCGGAGGGTAACGCGTAATGCCTGGTCCTATGTTGATATTGATGATGATGATTGGCACAGACCGCTAAAGACTAATAGTCCCTCGGGTTTGTATTCTTGTACAATTCTCAGGACAATTTTGTTGTAATTCCCCTCTTACATAGAATTTTTGATTCAATTTGGGGGTTTGTGGGGATTTATTTGTTGATTTCAGGCTAGTATTCATCATGGACTGACATCAGTTAGAGAAACATTGGAAACCTGGGAGCACTGGACAGCTGTTTCGTCCTAGTATAGGACTCCTCAGGAGCACGCATCGATGACCCCGCCCCTCCAGGGATGGAGCGCAGGACCTTCAGGTTCCGCGGCCAGCATGTTACTATTGAACCACTCAGTCGTGATCTAAAGGTCCATATTTCCAACTTCTGTCAGTTCAAGACACAGCTCGACCATCACCCAACGTCATCGTTGAATATTTATCCTCACGTGACCGGTGGGGGAAACCTGGTGGACGTAAGAACAATTACTCAACGATGACATTGAGTGATGTTCGTGCCATCTCGTGAACTGACAGAAATTGGAAATATGTACTGTTAAATCCCGACACAGTAATATTAGTCCATGATAAATACGAACTTAACAGTGTAATTCTTTTTCTTACCCAGATTAAAAGGTGACCAGATTTAAATAAGTGTGTTGTTTTGTTAAGTAAAACAAATTTCACTCCATAACGTTTATCACCTTTCTAGTAATGAAGTCAAACACCGAGGTATTGAATATGAAGATAAACAATGGAAAAATATAATGAACGAGAGATGTTTACCTTTAGGTGTATTCCTCTATGGCTTAAATTGAAAGTTATCAAGAAGTTCATAACATATAGTTCATTCATCTTTATTGCTTAAGGTTTATAGGGTCACCAGCAGTATTTGAAACCTTTGTTGTGTTTGTACATAATCAGTGAACATTTATAAAATCTAGTGTGAATACTTCATAGTAAAATAAGTAAACCCACTTTATACAGAGTAATATACTATGGCTTGTTGGCAAAGATATTTTAATCTCAAGCAATACTTTCCAGATTTGATCTTCACTCCATCTACTCCGACTTGGGCAACTGAACAGTATCATACGCTATTATATACCAGATGTAGGTTATAGTTTAGTAAATAAGACTGTATCAGGTTGTTGAAGTGACTTTATCATCACTCATGTAATAAGTTCGCTACAGATAAAAATTGTAGTAACCTCTTCAAACGCTTTGTTAAAGGTTTTAATTTTTGTGTTGTTTAACTTGTATTGCATACTTCTAATTAGTGATTTAGTGCAAGTTGCACCCTGGGCCCACAGTTTCTAGAAGTAAGGTCCAACAAGAACTACTTGTATGATACACATACATTAATACCTGTAAAGATATTTATGTGGTAGTCTGTGAACCAATCTTGTTGTGTAAGAAAGGCTTATAATATTAACCTGGATGGTGGTTGCTCAGGTAGTAGTATTTGAATCCAGAATCGAGTTGTTTAAAGACAAGTGTTAAAATCAGTTAGCCAAATCTCTACTGAACAGTAGTTATTCACTAACTACTAAGAGTTTGGCTAAAATTAGTTAAGTAAACTTATCACTTTATCTCCTTTTTGCTATGTTATTACTTCATCATCCTCTTTTCTTCTGTTTATCTTTCTTTCTTTTTTTTTCAGTTCATGATATTGTTAAAAACTATACAGCTGACTATGATAAAACATTGATCTACAACAAGATACATCATGAATTGAATCAATTTTGCAGTGTACATACTTTACAAGAAGTTTACATTGAACTGTTCGGTAAGTTCGCCTTTTTGAATATAATAATAGGATTGCTTACGTTTTCAGAATTGGATAACTCCACTACACATTTATTATGCGGTGGTCTATTCACTAGGCCCTATATATATATATATATATATATATATATATATATATATATATATATATATATATATATATCAGTGTTGTTAGAGTATCTGATAGAGTTCTACTTTCTGTTACTCAATGAAACAATGTGTGATAATTTTTATTTTTGAGGAAAATTTACATATTCGATATTTAGTCTGAAAACTACATTTAATAAAGTAAAACGAGATTTCTATGTAGGTTTGTAAGTTAAATTTTATTCTAACTGTAACTTGTGTCTATATGCATGTATATATGTGTTTTTTTTTACGAGAGAATATAATTGTACGGATGATGTCTACATTCAGAGCACATTAAAATATAAATTGATCGGACTACTCTACTACTTTGCTCACGCTGTTGACAGTATTGATGAACAAGTGACTGATCACCGTAAAACCCAACTAAGTTATTATCAAAAGAAATATACTGTTGAACAGCGTGAGTAATTATGAATAATTCATACTGATCTGTAGATTTCGTTAGCCAGATCGTACAGATCTAAACACTTAACCAGCATTTTACCTTTTGGGTGCCGAGTTTATTAGTGCTGTACTCCAACGAATTCAGCTCACATAGCCGAGTTGTTTAGATCAACTGAATCTGGTTAACTGACTTGAATAAACTGGTATACTGTGAATAGGATGATCAATTTGAAAATGACTTACAAGCCGCATGTTTCATGTTGACATTTCTCACATCTCAGTAGTTTTCAAACTGCTAAATTGTGCTGTCAACAGAGTTTCCGTGGAGTTAGTATCTAATGAAACTACCAGCGATTTCGAAACATCCGCACAGCGAGTAGATATCACGATTCAGTAGCGTAATGGATAATGTTCTAGAGTTTTTATACCATAGATTCGATTCTCAGTGGCAACATCACTCATTGTGATGCAGGTGCATCTGCCTAATGAGCCCCAACTAGAACTAAACATGAGTCCTGGATTCCAGTGGCAGCTACCATCACTAATTACTAGGAGATGAACCTCCTCTCAGGGAGAAGAAAACAGATAGTTTTTGAGAAGAACAACTTCCTACAGCTGTTTTTCAAAAAAACTTCGATGAAGTAGCAGTACCCCTATATAAATTGCTAAATGGTACAACGTTTACATGGTAAGAGTCAGTGCGGAAGATATTTGATCGAATCAAAAGACTTCTAGTTGACTGATAAATGATTACCAGAACACTAGAAGCATTTCACAGTTGCAACAGATACACACATTGGTATCGTTTCAAGACAGTTAAACGGTGTTGTGGAGTGTGTCAGCTATGTCTTGCCAGCGGAACACAAGTATTTGACGGTTGAAAATAAATGTTTGTCGCTAGACAAATGTAGACTGCTGGGTCGTTGACTGCATGCACTATGTGACATTTCTAATAGACTAAAATGGAATTAAAATCTATCACAATGCGTAAGTTTTTCTCCTATATCAACATTCTTTCTTTATTGAGACTGATCATCAACCCTTCCATTGGTTGAAAACAGGAAGACCTGTGGCAATTTATCACGATGGATATTACATTTACAATAATATGACTTCATCATTAGGCACGTTCCGGGGAGAGCCGAACTTCTTTACACAACGTACACAGTTGGTCCCTTGCAAAGGGATCCACTAAAATTGGTCCGTTATCGGAAGTCTGGTTGCAATCTTCATGCAGTAAACTAAGCGGCTAAATGAAGAGATAGATATCGACAAGCAAACAAAAAGGCAATATAACATTGCTCCGGCACAAGGATAGATGAAAATAAAGATGTACGGAGCTCCGATTTCACAAGGTAACAATAGGTGTTGGGTATTAGTGATTCCAAAAGACCTGCACCACGAGATGATTTACGAATGCCACCAGTTAGCCATACAGGCATTACAAGAATGAAAAAGTCCATACTAACCAGGTACGAGAGACGACGCTGCAGAGTATGTGCTTGTTTATTCACAGCGTCAATTGATGAAATGAGATTGATGCATACAACCACCATTACAGTCTATTCCAATAACGGCAATTGGTGATCTACGGCCATTAAATTTAATGTGACCTTTTTCTCAGACCGCCATCACTAACGAAAAACTAATGGTGATGATAGCATACTACACTCTGGAAAGTCACCATAACGATTGTAGGACACAGTGCAAAAACAATAACTGAGGCGATAATACAAAATATTGCAGCCGACCACGAAGTGTCTAGGATGCTGTTGACATGTCACGACTCCCGTTTACGGAGTGGTAAATTCAAATTCGGTCTGGGACAGCTAGTTATCAGGAGGATACAGATAATGCCATATTATCCACAGATGAATGGTGTGGGCGAAAGGAATGGCCGGCTCCGAAGTGAGGTAATCGGAGATAAAACTGCTATTAGTTTTATTATTACATCACGCCTCCATACATACAAGAAATCACCGTTCTAGCTGATGTATGGTATACAACTACAACTACCAGTACAGTAATAAGACCTGGCTGCTTGAACGCGGGTGAATTACTAGGAGGTTGAAATAGAGAAAATCAGCTGTCACTAATAAAGAAGTCAAGCAGTAAGTAGACTCTGGGAGGTAAAAGCAGAAAGAAAGTACGAAATGAAAACCACTCAGAGTGGGAGATCATGTGAAGTGTATGGAACGAAAGCACACTACAGAAGGCGTGTCAGGATCAGGATGACTGCTCCCATAGTGGGATGGGCCGTACTTCATTATCGAGAGACGCGGTACGATCAATAAATGAAGACAAACAGAAACGCGTAAATGCTAGTCAACTTCAGAAAATTGGTCTAATTGTGACAAAATATTGAACGAAAGATAGATAAAGAAGACAAGTATTAAGATCAAAGCGGCTACAGAAACGACTTTTTAATGGAGAGAAGAGTATAGTGTATGCTGGTTTTGCGAACAGGCTTAAGTCAATAGTATATAATTATAGTGTCACTCAGATAAGAAAGTAAGGTTATCCTTCAATCAGTTGAGGCTCTAATGAAGAAAACAATAAACATAGGAGGAGAATGCAAAAACTAAATGAAGATCAACTCATCTCAGATATAGAAAGGAAGTTGAATGTTTTACCCTAAAAGAAAAAAAAAGTATAAAAAAAGAACTAGCCAAGTAATTAAAGTTACATTTTTAATAGAAATGAAGGTACTAAGATAATTATCACGAAAACTTCATTAGTGTTCAAAGCACAGTGTGTATTAATACTTTTGATCGATTGTTTTACGAAACATATTTTATGATCATGTAGGAATCGCTTCTTCATAGAATAAAAGTTGTACACATTTTTGCTTGTTTATATGTATATATATAAACTCAACTTCTTATTAATATAACTTTTTTCATACCTATTCATATCTTCACCTTGAACTTACAGACTGATAACATTTTATGATCATATATGAACAATGTCATCTAACTTGTCTACATATACTATTCAGATATATAATAACTTGTATATATTTTATTCTCTAAAAAAGCAACTTTCACAAGATCAGAAAATGTTAGAAACTTATAAATATATTCCTTTATAAATCACTTATCAAATTCTTAACTTATTCAATTCTATTTATTCATTTATTTATCATTATTATTATTAAATTTTGAGGGGGTTGTGGAGATTTGGAAATATTTCAAGTTGTTATTCATCGAAGACTGACATCAGTTGGAGGAACAAAGGAAACCTGGGAGCACTGGACAGATGTTTCGTCCTAGTATGGGACTCCTCAGCAGTGCGCACCCACGACCCCACCAGCAGGGATCGAACCCGCGACCTTCAGGTTCCGCGACCAGCGCGTTACCATTGAGCCACTGGAAATATGGAGCATTGGATTCCGACCCAGTGGCTCAATGGTAACGCGCTGGTCGCGGGTTCGATCCCTGCTGGTGGGGTCGTGGGTGCGCACTGCTGAGGAGTCCCATACTAGGACGAAACAGCTGTCCAGTGCTCCCAGGTTTCCTTTGTTCCTCCAACTGATGTCAGTCTTCGATGAATAACAACTTGAATTATTATTATTATTATTATTATTACTATTTATTTATTTATTGATTGATTTTGTAAAATGCAAATAATATGATTTCCGTTCACTTTTAAAGGTGAACCATTCTTTTTGTTTGTTTTAGTTAATTACTACTTTATTTCATGTAACATAAATTACTATAACAAAGCATTTTTAGGAACCGTGTTATACAGATACTGCCTGTTTTTGTTTTTTTTTAAGTCAGAATGGTAAAAAAAAACAGGCATTGAATTTCTCTGTGCAAGAGATCAACCTCCCTAATAATAATCTTTAAGAAATACTTTTAAAGAATAAGAATATTTGTAGGGCAAATAATACTGTTAGAGTGATCACTTCCTCAGATAGTTTTATTACTTTATGTATTTCAGATTGATTTTCAATTCATACTAGTTTTTTTCAGTTTTTCATCATGTTTCTCTCCAGAACCTGTACCTTGTCGGTTTTTCCAGTGATACTGAACTGTATACTGATACACGTTCTTATAATCAGCACGTACCAAACTTTAATGCTCTAATACATTGTGAAAGTTAACTACTTTTCATTCACTGTAAGGAGGATATATGTTTATAGTAAGGGACTGTAATTTTTCTGAATTAATACGATTGATTCATGTTCTATCAGTGGTAGTTTACTCTTTGTGGATGTTTACCATATCCTAGAAGAAAATGTCAGCGTTCTACAATTGTTTTATATGCCATCCGTTAATTATCGGCTCTTAGTAATTTGTACTAGGTGATGATTGAGAGTGAGATGAAAATCTGGACTGTGGCCGGATTTGAACCAGCGATCACCGGGTTGCCTGTCCAGTGCTCTACCAAATGGGCTATGAGGTCCGACTGCTGACCAAAGTTTTATTTCATTTCAATCACCAAGTGTTTTGTCCGACTACCATGTGAATTCGTGATGCGTTACTACCGCTTGATTGTATCCACACTGGTCACTGGTTCGAATCCGGCCGCGGTCCAGATTTTCATCCTACCTTCAGTCATCACCCAGTACAAATACTAGTCTGCCAAACTACGGCTGTCTTAGATAGTCAAATCATAATCTTAGTAATTTCTCAAGTCAATGACTAACAACTTTACCTACCGTCACAGGGTAAATATGTGCATCCTTTCTTTACGACAGTTGATAGGACACATATGATTCACAAAATTAATTGTAAAGAATGTTTCTCAAAGAATTCATGGGGTTGATGCACATAGAAAATCATAATGTCGATTCGAAGAAAAACGCGAAATACTGCAACATGTCAAAATATTAACTGCTTAAAGCCAAATATTCAGATTAACTGATCAAAAAGAGGTATGTGAATCTATCGACAGTCAACTAAGAAGGTAAATATGCATTTTTCAGTTAACTGAAAGGTGACTGAGTAAGTAAGTAACCTCTACTTCAACCTATAAGTAGAAAGTATCAAAAGCCAAGAAGTATTAACTCAGTACTCAAGAAACTCTTACACTTGTCTCACTACTTCGTGTAACTAGTATGTGGTAAAATGTATGCTTAGAAATTTACCTTCATACCTTACTAACGCTCATTATCCTAATGAACTCAACAGTGTGCTTTTGTACGTTTCACTTCTAAAGACTACATACTCTTAGATTAACATAGAAGATATTGACTATTGTCTTTTTGTCTAATCTATATTATTATTATTATTATTATTATTATTATTATTATTATTATTATTATTATTATTATTATTTGTTCTTTGGGTTCCTAGTAGAACATAGGGCTTCAGTAGCACGTCGCCATTCCACTCTCTTCTCTGTAGCCTTTTGAACCTGGCTCCATGACTGCCTATAACCTTTCATTTCTTCCTCACACGATCTACTCCATGTCACCCTCGCCTCGGATGCCCAACTCGTCATTTCCCCTTTGGATTCCACTCGAGGGCCTGGCTTGTAGAGTGATATCCCCAAATGGTCTTCTCAATCTATGTTCAATCCATCTCCACTTTCTTCGTCTGCATATTTGTTGGCCGATAGGTTCTTGGTTGGTTCGTTGACAGGTTAGAGTTCCTTGTTGCTTATTCTTTCTGGTCTCCTGATCCAATCTTCAGTACCGAGTGAGTGTAGGCGGCAGCTGTTGATGAATGTCTGTAGTTTGTTCGAAATCCTTTTCCTAACACGACAAGTTTCTCAACCATCACATAGAAGCACTGACTTACTTGACATTAGTGTTCAAAATTCGGATCTTCTTCCACATGCTGAGTGCAGTAGATCTCCACACTGATTTCAGGTTAATGAATGAAGGCCTCTCTTGCTGTCTTTCTGATCCTAACTCTGACATCCTCATCTGTGCCGCCTGTAATTGAAACGACACTTTCTAGGTAGGTAGGTGAAAGAGACAACTTCCTTTAGATTCCTCACCTGATGGTGCTTGTTGTTGGTTGCGTATCTTCATCACCTGTATCTTCTCTACGTTCACCTGAAGGAATTCCCATCTTCACTGCCTCACCTCGCCTCTTCTGCCAACTTGTTAGTTTTCGCCTATACATCTTCGACGAAATCCAAATCTTCTAGTGTTTTTTCATCGGTCAAACAGCGTATGCCCATCTTCTCGCTCCTCATAGTTTGTTGCATAATCCAGTCCACCCACCACCATCTACGCTGGTATACTATGGTGTTAATTTTTGGTCATAGGGTTCATTTTTGTACTTGTTGAAATTATGATAGATAAACTGTGTTTATTTTTTTTTTTTATTCACCATTCTTTATAGATCAAATTGATGAGTATTTAAAACGAACCTTACAAGCAGATTTAACACTTATGGCACCTGGTTTATATGTTCAAGCAGTACGAGTTACAAAACCAAAAATTCCTGAAGCTATACGACATAACTATGAAGCTATGGAAGCTGAAAAGACTAAATTACTAATTGCTGAACAACATCAAAAATTAATTGAACGTGAAGCGGAAACTGAACGCCGTCGTGCAATAATTGGTTAGTTTAGTATCTTCAGTATAAAGTTGATCAATGCCTATTGCTTTTGAAGGTTTGAGAATCTTTTACATATAATATTTGATCTCATTTCTCCATTTATTATTAATTGCTTGGATGTGTCAGACAATCTCATTAATAAATATTTTCAACTTCATAGCCAGAACGAAAATGATGAGATTCTATCTACTTTACTTTTGACTGAAATGTTTTTTTAATTCATTGTTTTCATTTAAACCATATGCGTTACTTTGTTTTTTGGACTTTTATCTACGAGTTGGTCATCGAATAGTGGTCAATTCAATGTTCAGAATGATAATTCTGATTTTACTTGGTTGTGGGAAGCAGAGGAATCTAGGACACACGTTTCATCCTATTTGAGACTTATCAGCTAGTTGTACCTGTATCCGAGTGATTGATATTGTTCCTACTGAGACTCATATCTATCGCTTCAAACGCCAAAGCGTTATCCACTGGACATGATAACCATCTCTTGTACAACGAGTATTAGTTATAACTTTTTATTGGTGTACTTGTAATTCTCCGTTGTTTTACTGGATCGAGTTGTTCGACCTTTGTTGACATATGGGCTTCTATCCCAAATAGGACGAAATGCTTGTCTTGGATTCCTCTACTAGCCACAACCAACTAAATTACCATCATTGACATTCAGGCAATATCGAGGCATCCACATACCAGCCCATATGCCAATAGAGGTCGGACAATTTGATCCAATAAAGTAACAGAGAGCTACAAGTATATATCAATAACTAGTAATGACTACTAGCCGTTGTACAAGAAATGGCTATCGTTCCTCCATGGCATAGTGAATAACGCCTTGGCGTTTGAAGCGATGGGTGTGAGGTTCGAGTGCCAGTGGGAATAACATCACTGACTGGGGTGCAGGTACATCTAGCTGTCGAGTCCCAAATTGGACTAAATGCGCGTCTTGGATTCCTCTGCTGGCCACAACCAACTAAATTACCATCAGTGACACTCAGGCAATATTGGGGCACCCGCATACCAGCCTATATGCCAATAGAGGTTGAACAATTCGATCCAATAAAAAACGGAGGATTTCAAGTATATCAATAGATAACACTACCTGTCTGTCTAATAAACTATGAATGTTTAGTGATTTAACTTCAGTTATCTACCTTGATTGAAATGTAACGTTGGACTGATGATTGAATAAGATAAGGGCCATTAGAAAGGTTAAATATCAGGAAGTATTCACTGAAGACACATTACTTTCCAAACAAGAATAACTTATAACATGATTAGTAGTGACCTCAGCTCTGAGCTTCATCTGATGATAGTAGGTTATGTGATCACTAGAGCTGCATCCAGTAAGTTGTTTTACACAAAAATAGCTGCTTACTAAACACAGAGCTGTTCTTTGTCTGACAATAACGCACGTTAAACTGACCATATCCTTTTTTATAATTAGACTCAAGAATATGCCATAGCAATATTACATGCATGAAGAATTTCAGTCATCGAAGATAAGGTTTAGGATAACATTATATTAGCGAATAGCGAATGTGGAAAGAGGTCTATAATGTGAGAGGGGAATCAACGTCTCTTGTCATACTGTCAACTCTTTTTTTTGCTACTGAAAAGTGTGTTTACCCCCATCAATCCATGTTTATAAGCTGTTTATTTAATACTGTCATAAGTTTATGCGGTACGTTGAGTACTTTTCAGAATTCTTTAATCCATAGTCCTTGAAATGAACTCACGAATTTGAACATGATTAAATTACTCTATCATTTAGTAGAACGTTTTCATCTGTTGACGTCCACCTTTACTACGGATATCTGTGTGCGAGACAGCGTTAGACTTCCTGAATAGATTATAGTTTCACCTTTTTAGTCTACATAGTGCACATATATCGTAAGATATATGTACAGTATACTATCGTATTGCTAATAATGTGTACATCCCGGTAAGTCAACGAAACAATTAGGCTTGAAATCCACCCTAATATGCCCTTCCATCGTTTTAACTTACTTCAATACAAGAACAGTGTTACTTACTAATCCTGAAATGATGGAGAATATTTGTAGCTTAGGTGGATGGTCTTGGTTGTATTGTGTTCTCCAAGTTGGGTTGTTTAGTTAGTTACTTGATGTCCATCCTAAAGAAGAACGGCTAACCACGAAACTTTATCGGAAGATGCCTACCCGTACAGCATCAACTACAAAGTCATCGACAGAAATCAATAAATGCATCATCCTACCACACATGAAGAATATATCAGAAATCACAACAAGATTTGTTGAGACCACTTGGAATCGGTTTGGCTCATCAACCAACAAATTCCCATCAAACCAAAGAGTACAACAACCAAAGAAGACAAGCCGATTATCATTTACAAAATCAACTGTAATAACTGTGGTCAACACTACATTGGACAAAGTGGTCACCCTCTTCGCCTTCGTCTACATGAACACCAATTGGTATTAAAAGTCACGACATTTCATCACTCATTTCAATGCATGTGGATAATTATGGAAATGAATTCAATTTCGACAATGTAGAAATTCTGGACAGAGGAAACACAAAGAATATTAGAGAGTATAATTGCTTGTATTATACTGTCATTGATTGGACACAATTCATCGGTCTCTATTGGCATATGTCTCCTGTGCGGATGCCTCGATATTACCTGTGTTTTAATTATAGTAATGATAGGTACTGGCTAGCAGTAAAATCCAGTATGCGCATTTCGTTCTATTTAGGACTTGTCTGCTGGATGTACCTGGCTCCCAGTGAGTGATGTTGTTCCCACCGGGATTCGAGCTCGGGACCGATCGCTTCAACAACAAGATCCATCATTAATTTCAGACAGTTTCTAGAAGCTCGGTATTCAGGTCAGTATTAATTAATAGATGTATACACATAGACCCCATCTATCAACCAATGAGAGGAATGATAAACGATAGAAAAATCAGAGGTCAAGCAGAGGAACAGCCAACAGGAAAATCTATCCAGTCAGTCCAGTGATACAAGAATCAAAGGAGACAACCAGTGACAAACTACTTCGTCAGGGCAAGCTACTAAATCACTCATGGGGAGATATTGACAGCTTACTTCATACTGAAGTTAGTCCTCATGATGTCTAGCAAGCCGAATAAAGCTCCACAACTAAGCAACCCAGCTCGGAGAACACAATACAACCAAGACTTACTAATGCTGCTTGTCTTTCCTCTCCTTCGGAAAAGAACGTTAGTAACTATCTTCATGAAGTCCAACTGAAGGTTCAATGTTTTAAAATATCTGCAGTGGTATGGGCTGTGGTTGATATCTACCACTTTGTGTCAATGAGGATATGTTGATGCTTGTTTGTCTATTCTTAAGTAGTGCTCAACCAAAACGAAGTTATATATCTTCTCAGGAACTAAATATAGATTTCATAAAGCCATAGGAAGGGTCTTCCGGCTCCTCAAATGTGACAGCATAATTAGTGTGCATTATATATGCGTTGGTACACGAAAATACTTGACTCATGTACCCTCAAAAAAATCACTAGACTGATAATCAAATTGATATTATACTCGTTATTAGACTTTTTGAGATGGAATCGAAAAATTGTACTGTCTTTGGAACGATCATTCAGAAGCCAATGGGTTTTGGTGGGCAAAAAACTTCGAAAGCTTTCTTTCTATTATTCATTAACAAGAACAAGGCATGTATCAGTGAAGAAGAAATATTTCTTATCAACGACTTCATTATATCAAGCTGTACAGTCGTATTTATACTCAGTAAGGTGAAAGATAATTGCACTTAAACGAGATGCTCAGTCAATATGCAAAATAGACAATGATCGGTGTAGGTGGTGTGGTATTTGTTCAACTGGAACACATAGAAGATGGGTCACTGAATAAGGAGGAACTAATTGATAACAAGTGGTGAGATAAGCAACAAGTGCTGTCAAAGAATTGTAAAATGGTGATAATTAAAGCTGAAACGTGTACAATAGGTCAATGATTAAGGAATGGATTGATATTAATAAGTGAAATATGGATCAAATGTTGTCAATGTAGTGAAAATTGGTGATAATAGAAGAGAAGTATACCAAAGTGAAGTGAAATGAAAATTGACAAAATCAACAAAATGAATTGTTAAGACTAAGGTAAAGAAAGTGATTTCACAAAACATTACTGAATGTAAAGTTTCGATTTTTGTTCATGTATAGCCCTCTTTAAATTACTTAGCTATTGCAATGAGAACCATAGAACCTAAGCCCTGTATACAAAAACATCTCAAACATTCTCATATTCTGCCTTGGCAATCTAAAAGAGGAAAAAGTTGATCTAAATGAGGTATACAGTGATTGCTTTTTTGAGGGAGTTGTGGAGATTTGGAAATATTTCAAGCTGTTATTCATTATAGACTGACATCAGTTAAAGGAACAAACGAAACCTGGAAGCACTGGGCAGCTGTTTCGTCCCACTAGTATGGGACTCCTCAGTAGTGCGCACCCACGGCACCATCCCGCCAGGGATCTGTCCCGCGACCTTCAGGTTCCGCGGCCAGCGCGTTACCATTGAGCTAACCACTGGGTCAGAGTCCATTGCTCCGCATTCCCAACTTCTGTTAGCTCACGACATAGCACAATCGCCACCCAATGTCATCGTTGAGTAACTGTCCTCACGACCATCAGGCTTTGACTCCACCGGTCACGACTTCTCAGTGGTGACTAGCTTCGAGAGGTATTCCCGAAGTTCCAATAAGAAGTCGTGACCGGTGGAGTCAAAGCCTGATGGTCGTGAGGACAGTTACTGAACGATGACATTGGATTCTGACTCAGTGGCTGAGTGTTAATGTACTGGCCACGGAACCTGAAGGTCGCGGGCTCGATCCCTGGCGGGATGTTGTGAGTGCGTACTGCCGAGGAGTCCCGTACTAGGATAAAACAGCTGTCCAGTGCTCCCAGGTCTCCGTTGTCCCTCCAACTGATGTCAGTCTACGATGAATAATTGCTTGAAGCATCCACTATTCTTTTTGTTATGTAAATTATCAATTTTATTACTGAATGATTAAATCTAACCGCTGAAATATTTTCTCTTTTTTGAATAGAAGCAGAAAAGGTACTTGAAGTTTCTGCAATTCAATGGCGTGCTAAAGTTGCCGCTCAAGAACAAGAACGTAAAGTTAGTGAAATAGCTGATGCTACACAACTGGCTCGATCTAAAGCTCTTACAGATGCTGAACATTATCGTGCTGTAAAAGAAGCTGAAGCTAGTCATCTAAAATTAACACCAGCATATTTAGAATTAGCAAAATATCAAGCTTTAGCACAGAATTCGAAAATTTACTTCACAGGTGATCAAGGTAATCTTATAATGGATCTTATTAATCAAATATCTGTGAATATGCCAAAACAAAGTGCATCAATAAAAGAGGATCAAACTGATTCTTCACTTCATTAGCATTTTCTTATGAAATATTGTTGTCCAATTTTAGATATTTTTTCATTCAAATATAATGTTGTCAATTTTCTTTCTTACGCTTTCCTATGCTACTGAATTCCACTTATTAGTTCTTCATTATTTATTTTAATCTGGAGGCTTGTGAGGGGGAGGGGGGAGGATATTTATTGATTTAATGTTGGGATTCTCCATGGTGTGATATACTAGGGTAAAACACTTGTCTCCAGTGTTCTCAGGTTTCTAATACATCTCCAATTGATATCAGTTCATAGTGAATATCAACCTGGAACTACTCATTTTCTTTTCTACTTTTAATGATTGTATGTATTGTTGCAAACTACTCGAAAACGTAGGCGCTTTAAACTGGCTTTTACTACTAACCATAAGATGTTGCCAGCATCTGTATGCTTTACAATCTATGGTCTTATCCATATATCTTAAGAATTACTCATAATTACATCTTGTAAACGTCGTAAGCATTTTGTTCTGGGTTTCATCGGTTAGTAGCCGATGAGATTTCTGCACGGATACAAAAGGCTCGATTGGCTTTTGCCAATTTGCGCCACCTATGGCGCTGCCGTGATATTCGTTTGTCTATTAAGGGTCGCGTGTACTGCACAGCAGTCCGCTCTGTTCTACTGTATGGCTGTGAAACATGGCCATTGAAAGTGGAAGACATGAGAAGGTTACAGGTATTTGACCACCGTTGCCTCCGTAGTATAGGACGTATTCCGTGGTGTCACCATGTGAGTAATGCAGAAGTTAGGTGTAGAGTTTTAGGGAGAAGAGGTAAGTCAGTCGACGAGGTTGTGAACCTTCATCGACTGAGATGGTTGGGACACGTACTACGTATGCCTATTCACCGATTGCCTCGTCACACAATGTTGGCTGAGGTGGGTCCAGGCTGGAAAAAGGCCCGAGGTGGCCAGACTAAAACATGGCACCAATGTATGAAGTCTCTGACTATTGGTTTAAGCCATGTAGGACGATGCAGACTAGGTGGTTGGGGTCCACGGGACAAGAGGAACCAGTGGTTGGAGACCCTAGGTGATATGGCTCATAACCGATGTCAGTGGCTCAGATGTATCCCCACACACATTATCCTCATCTTAACAACGCTATACCGAATCTCACTATTTTATCACTCCTCTTTCCTTTCTTCTCGTACTTTATATTTCTTTTGACTGCATTCACTTATCTTCATCCTTCACCTCACTACCTTTTTACTTGATGTGCTGATATGAGGTGTGGCAACTCGGACCGTTACGCAGTAATGCCTGGTCCTATGTTGATAATGATGATGATGATCTGGGTTTCATAAGGAGATGTTTTTGCATCATTAGTTTGTACAATAGATGAGTGAGTTGATTAAAATCAGCGTTATCTTTATTCTCATTTTCAATCTTAAGAATTATTTAGGGATAATTCACAGTTATTTTCATCTGCTTGTTCATCGTTTTTTGACTTACATTTCTTAAAGGTTAAGTGCTTGCTAAGTGAACTGATATATCCTTGTAGCATATATATAGGTGGACTTTTGAACAATAACTTTAGACTTCATCCTTGGGGGTCCGTCAGCTCCTCAAAAACAGAAAGAGGTTACCAGAATAATAATAATAGGTTTGTTATCAAGTCGAACAAGTATCCAAAGTAATGGTTTATATATAATTTTGATGGCTTTGGTTGTTCTACACTTTTCTAGAAAGTCCTTTAGGCAGTCAGAGACTGACACGTCGCTTTTTGCGAACGTTCGGAAAATTTATTCTCATCAGGAAAGCAAAGCAACCAAATCTCAGTGCATCTACTGCCATTTCATAGCTATCTTAGAATTCTAATGATTCGAATTCAGTTATAAAACTAAAGTGAGTCAATACAATATATATGGAATTGTGGATTTCGCAGAAATGTGGGTTTGATGTATGCCTTATCATTGAACTGTGTCTGCAACTTTCGGAGCATTGTGACTTCTCTAATCGTCGGTGCAAAGTATAACTACTAATTTCTTAATGTTGAAAACAAACCCCAGTTAACAAGGCTGGTTAGTTAAAAACGTCACAGACTAATCGTAATCAATCCCATAAATTAGACTTCAGAGCTTAAAATCCCTTACATAAATGAACTCATTTCGATCACCAAGTAAATCTATGTGGTGCAAAATAGACTGGAACTCATCTAGATTCGCATCAGCTTCTTTATCAATGACGTTGAAAGACACAGATTAGAGTTTCAGTGGAAAAATGAGTTCGCTCGATATTCTGCGACTTCTTGTCTAGAGACTACTAACACAAATAAGTTGTGGTATAGTGTCCAGTTGCTTAACTCGCCCCACTAAATGACCTCTTTGACTGTTAAGCACCAACCAACACTAAAACGCAGATTGCCGCCTTCATTAATATCTCGTGATTCCTTGGGATATGGCGTGAATCACTTTTATCAAAAAGCATTTGATTGTATAGCCCAGAGTTACCTCAGAATATGCTTTTTCAACCCTCTCTCTCCCAACTACATTCCAGATGAGAAAAAGGAAGGAAACGACATCCATCAAAACATTCAACCCTATGCAATCTTCAATATGAATTCACTTCTAAATAACAAGTCAATCAAATAACATTACTTGACTACACTGGTGATAAGTTAGTTCACAGAAGGTATTTCCTGTTAGTGACCGGCATCCTAATATTATAGCTATTACAGTCAAAATGTCTTGTTAGATAGCTACCCAGTGACTTACAATAACAATTTAGAAATTAAATGCACTGTCATAGGACTGCAAATAACAAACCTGACCGATAGCTGCTATCTTGACGTGGAGGTCGGGCTTACATATTACAATGACCCAACAAGCTATGCTGATAGAATGCTTGCTCCCTAGAGGTCTTACTATCTCAGAAAGGTCTACTGGATAGTGGTAAGACGAAAAGCAGTTGCCGTTGTAGTTTAATCTACAGTACTATGATACGGGTCAGAGGGCAAGGTCGTACTGCTGCCAGCTGGATGGGGTGTGACAGCAGTAGGGTGTTTACCTCGGATGACCAGCAGTGCCATGCTGATGCTGCCTTCTCAGTGGAAGGGGGGTTAGAAAAGGTCAGCCCCAAAAATAGCACTCCTCCCTGCCCACGGTCTTCCGACACGAGCATGATGGGTTCTCTCTATCCGGTGTTAAAACGGCCAAACCTCAAAACAACATCACGCAAAGGGTGGCGTGACAGGCCTCAAGCAAACTTCCCATAGGCTTTGTAGTCACGCAAATCTTTTTGAGGTACCTTAGGGAGAAATAGACTTTCATAATGTGGGCAGCGGAAAGTGCCAACCGCCTCTACGCTTCCAGTAGTAGACAAGTAAACATAACCTATTCTTCTCTACTCTGTCTCATCTTTACCTTCACCTGATACTAATATTAAGCCCCTTGCACCTTCCTCAACCTCTTATTCTGTGACCATTAAAAAGATCAAAGCCATCGGAACCTCATTTCTTGTCTCCCAAAACCCTAGGACCGATTTCATGTAGGAGCTTTCAACGTCTGAAAAAAGCCACTCGGCAATGAGTCACACCTATTGTCTGAGGGCTAGTGATATCATCTGACTGCCTAGACTACGCCAGGTGAAGAGGGGCTTGAACCTGTGTCACAATGGTTGATAGTCACCTCCCTAGATCGGACAGTAAGCATCGCTCGTCAACCTCCAGCCATGGATGTATACTGTATATCTGAGACACTTGTATAGGACCCGAGTGTGATGATTAAATTAACCTCACCTGACTAGTGTGGTGAATCCTCAGAATTCACCTAATGACTATCCGCAGACCCAGTGGCTAGCTCTTTTAGATTCGCTGGTGTATGCATAGCATTGAGCTGTATGGTAGGAAATGCACTTTTAGACTGGACACCAGCCGAGTGAATGGATTTGCAAAGACTAGGAAGGATCGTAAGATTAGGCGATGCATATTCGGAATCTCCGCCTACGCACCCGCTGACTGCAGTTCGGATGATCCAAAGCATGAATTTTATGAGCTGTCAATTTTGATACAGAAAGCAAAACGTTCAGACGTAGTCATAATAGTAAGTGACTTACATAGCCAAGTAGAGAAGTTGAGTCAAACGGAAAGGTATCTACGGTATCCCATGCCAACAAACAGTTAATGGTGATTGTCTGTTGCAATTTCGCTCCGACGATCACCTGTTTCTGGCTAGCACTAACTTTAGACATTAGCAGAGACACTGTCTCGCATGGCGTTTATCTACTTCAAACCAACGATGGACACGGAGAGATCACATTGCTATGAGGCAGCCATCGTTAGACGGTTGCCGCGCTAGTATGAACTCGTGGATGCCTACACCTTATTGGCAGCAGGCAATGAGGCCAGTCTGTGCCTGATTGGAAGAGAAGGACGGCGAGTATGCATCTAGAGACGAGTTAGCTAAGCATTTATCTGCATATGACAGCAATGTTCATCCTGAGGAAACCTGGGTTTGATACTAAGCATACTGTTGAAAAGGTGGTAGAGTTGGTAGCCTACACCCGAAGATAAGCAAACGTCACAGGATTTCAGCGACGTCATCCGAACTGATTCACGGTAGAATACTGATCCCAGCTAACTTCAAACAAGATGAAAAGCGGAAGCAACTCAGACGTAAACTGACCAAGAGTCTTCGAAAGGATCGCGAGTAGTGGGTAGAGAAAGCGAGGAGTGTAGAAGGAATCAGGTTTGGGTTGTGCCCGGCAGCTATTGGTGCTTATTAAGGATACCGGTAAGACCATGGTTACTGAAACCATCACGGAAAAGCATACGACGCTGATAACTTCACCAAACAGTTGGTCAGAACGTTGAACGGAAAAATTTGAAGCACAGTTCGGACGGGGATCCAGCAACATTTCAGTTTCCCTACATCTAGCCTGAACCTGAATGGGACGTGAAAGTCGGTTCTTCAACTCTCCTCCAAGTTGAGAAGGCTGTATGGAACCTGGCAGCAGCACTTGACAGTTGGTCGCCCGAAATTTGCAAGGATAAAAATAGGAAATTGATAATTAAAGTGACGGAGGTACTAGGTGTTGTATGTGAATAATGGGCGGTGCCATTAGACTGGCCTACTTCAACGGTAATCCCAGTTTGTAAGAAGGGAGAGTAATCTTCCTGTGACAACCACAAGGGAATTATTTTGACTAATATTGTATCCCAGATCCTAGGACCCATAGTTATCCGACGCCTAACTGGAGCTGAAGAAAACCAGACAGGTTTTAGACCTGCACGACTTTGTCGGCCGCAAAGTATTATGGTAGTGTGAACAGAGTGCCAAGTAAGTACATAATACTTAGTAAAGCTCTCTACTCGAGCTCACACAGCCGCCTGCGGGCTAATGGAGAGTCATGTGGATTGATGACAACTAGTGGCGTTATCCAGGGATGTCCAGTCACCGTTCCTATTTAACTGCGTCATAGACGTACTAATACATATGACCTTAAGTAAGTCTGACTTCACAGGAACCGACCTACTCTATGGATATCTGGTTGAATTGGAGCATGCAGACGATATTGTCGTACTAGGTGAAGACGCTGACAAAATCCAGGATCTTCTGGACATGTTGAGCAGACATCTGAGTATGTTGGGGATGCGTTCCGCTTGCTTCTATCAAATATTAGATGATGCTCTAGAACTGGTTTGCAACCACTCAGCTTAATGATAAGGAGTGGTGGTATATGTCAACCTACTTCCACTAAGTGGGGAGTTACGTAAGCTCAAACGGGCTGGTTGCTGACGAAATCTCAGCTCGGATATAGAAAGTCCGTTTGATATTTGCAAACTTCCGTCATCTGTTGTGGCGACTGGTGAGATACCCGACTACCAATCCCAGGCACGAGTATACTGCACTGCATTCCGTTCCATCGTTGTACGGCTGAGACTTGGCTGTTAAAAGTAGAAGACACGACGCGATTACTAGGTGTTGGTCATAGATGTCTTCGTATCACTGCCCGCCTTTCGTAGGACCACCGTGTGAGCAATGTTGAGGTCAGGCGAAGGGTGCTACGAAAGATGACGGAAGTCGATGGATGAGGCTGTGAACCTTCATCGTCAGAGGATGCTTGGATGTGTTGCGCATAACGGGTCACTGCCTACCTCGATGAGACATTCTAGTGGAAGCTGGATTGTGTTGGAAGATGTCTCAGGGTGGCCAGAATAAGACGTGTCACCAGTGTATGGAGTCCCTGACTGTTAGTCTGAGTCATGTCGGGAGATGTAGACAGCTTGGCTGGGGTCTCCGAGACGAAAGGAATCAGTGGTTGATAATTCTTGGTGACATGGCTGAAAACTGGTCGCAATGGCGCAGACATCTTCTAAAGCCTTAATATTTGCACTAACTGTTATTTTCAATCGTTTATTCTCCCACACAACTTTGTCTACTTTGATATCATTCTTTTTCTATTCATCTGTTCTTTGTGTACCGCTGTGAAGTGTGGGAACTTGAACCGATCCACATTTGTGTAGGGTCCTACGTTGATATATATATATATATATATATATATATATATATATATATATATATATATACAGAGAGAGAAAAAGAGAACGAACTGACTATGTATTACCTCCATAAACTAATAGTAATAAAAATAGTACTTTGAAACATGTTTACGAAATTGCATCGAAACAAAAATAATGAACTTAAAAGTAAATGTAAAGTGGGATTCTTTAGACTAGACTATACACGCTACTGTAAGTATCGAAAAGTAGAAACAAATTTCATCACAAAGTTACAACTTTGAAATATATTCAACTTTCTTTATCTAATAGTTAGTTAGATGACGTTCTTAGCATAGTACACATAGTGCAATGAGTATAATAACCAAATGAAAAGAGATTTTGAAATAAAGAAAAATAGAAGAATGATATCATCTTTAATAGTATGTTTATGAGTTTCAAAGTACTTTTGATATCATCAAAATAAATACGGATTACTTTATAAGAAAAGTATGAAGCAACATGAAAATCACTCCTTTAATGGAATTCTAAAGAAAATGCATTTACTAACAAAAAATAATTGTACTTTTGGAGAAAGTGTACAAAATGTACTTTTGTATTTCACAAGTAACAAATCAATCATCTCATATTGTTATATGAAAAACAAAAATCACGATTTTAGTTGATCTTCTGATTTATGTTTCTCCTCACCCTGAAATATGAGTAAATAATTAGGCCAGTTCTTACAGATCAACAGAAACAGTTAAAATCCTAATTTGACTGAAGACTGTTGAGAATGTTTTAACAGTAATATATGGAATCTAAAATAATGGATGATTACAGGGATATATCACATTTTATGATTATTTAGCCTTATTTCAGTAGATATAAAAGTGAATTTGCATGTCAGTAAACTATGTGCTAGTCCATGGCTACTGTGCAACCAACGTTCGAAGTAACACACACAAAGTATGGTCAGACAGCCGTCATATAACTTTAGCCCTTTAACAATTTATCAAAAAACCAGTGAAAAGCTAGAATCACCTATAAATGACCATTATAAATGATCATCATCTTTGAGTATCTGAAACTATAGAATTAATGATTTAGTATACTTCCCACGGAAATCCTCTTTTGTAACTGCAGGGAACAGTTAGCCACGTTATTATTACTAATAAAAGCTACAAATATATCTGAGAAATATGGCAATGCAAAGAAAAACTGTCTTGTTTTGTTCATTACAACTTCACAATTTAATAAAAAGCCATCTAATTACTATGTGCAAAAAATTAGCAGCGAAATTTGAAAGAAAGTAGGTGCAACAAACTACCTGATCTGCTGAACTTTGAATCAAGTTATGATAAAGTCTACCTTAAAAATCCTTTTACTTTACGAAATAGAAAGCTGGCATGAAGTCAACACCTCCGATTTCATGTTAAGCTAAACCACTTCACATGCAAGGAAATAACCTGGATTGAAACAGGAATAAACGATAAAGACGGGTCTCAGAAAACTTCAGGAACACGCAACCCTACACAAGGTAGTCTGTTCATTATGTACTTAACCCAGTGGAGATTCTCCAAGTCAATTAAAAAATATCACGTTATGTCCTATGTCTAATAACTTTTCCCCTGAAGTAAAGACAATAAATGGATGAAAGTAAACTTTAGTATTAGATAACTCTAATAAACTTGAACTAAAGAAAAATAAAATCATAAAAGAATACTTCGTTTACTCCATTTCAAACCCACCACGCGAGTATTCAAGAAGCACAAATAGGTGTCCCATATACTTGTAAAAAACGCCACATACAGAACACGATAAGCGGGAGGTACGAGAGCGAAATTGATAGTTTGCAAAATAGGCCAGAAAGCTAAGTCTGCCACATAACTTGGAATGAATGATTGACGACAGCGTTCAAGAGCACCAGACATTGTATACGTATCACAAAAACCATTATCTAATCAACATAAAAACATCCAAAACAATCATATTAAAACAGCTAAAATCAAACTCAGAGAATGCACAGGCAGGTTGAAATTGAAAACAAGTTATTTTGTAAGGTTCATAAGTTGATTTTTCTCAGCAGCACGATTAGACTATTAACTGTAAGCATTTAAACGATAAAACAATTAGATATTTTAGAATTTTCATTTCGTCAATGAAGAGAAAATGTAGACAAAGGATATTTTTCTATAGTTGATAATACAACTTTTACTATCACATCACGTTCCAAAAACATAACCACGCAGAACTCGCTAGCGTCTTCTTCACTTAGCTGAAGCTGTTGTAATAAAATTGATCAAAACAGGACTCCAAGTTCACGGGTCACTTCTCTCTTCGTTTTTACAGACTAAAGTCTATTCTTACCCTTCCTGATTCCCATCTTTCTTTCTTTTTGCAACATCACATTCTCCATACTCACCTAAGCACTGAAAAGTTAAAAGTCGGCCCGTTTACAGCCCCCCAATTTACGTTCCATTCAGGAAATGTACTTGCCTTGAAGTTGGTCTGTTTCTATGCAGAATGATTTCATTTTATATTGGTAGAACCGGAGGTTTTCTCGAAAAGAATATTCTCCCCATATATCATTTCGTACACCATTCACTTTCTACATACACCGTCATTTTGAGATCCTTTGATTGTCTTATCATAACACGGCGATTGCCTTGACTCGTCTGTGGATAAAGCTCGTTAAAAAAAACATAGCATAGACACTTAAACCAAGCTCAAACTTGACGGTGTGAAAAAATTCAGGCATTGTAAGTGATTTTCGTCCGTGTGAGAGTAAAACCTGGATACTGTGGTAGAATGTCATTCCAACTCAACTGATTTATCAGATGAAACACAGTGCATGAATCTTGGACAATACATTATATCCGAAACGTAAGTCAGCAAATAATGCTGTTCAGCTGTGTGATACGTCCAGTGAATCAACTGCAATAATTTTCAATAATTTGATATGTGTTACCCAATGAATGAAAAAGAAAACACGATCGCTTTGACTGTTGCTTCGTTATTGAGAGCTAACAGCTTTACGGAAATAATAACAAACCTCAATTTACAAAAAGCAGTCATAAGGGCAGAAGGAAAGTGAAACTCTCAATTCATACGGTTATCAGGACAAATACACTACATAAGTTTGTTATTACTTCCATGCAGAAAGACAGACAACGTAGACAAGTGCATTGGTTCTAGCTGCCACACTTCCCAGTAGTAGTTTACAAAAGAGCAAGTTGATTGGAAAGACTGACATCAAAGTAGACTAAGGTGTACGGGAGGAGTGGGAATTTAAAAACGAAGGTTACTTAAAACATCCAAGCTTTAGAAGACGTCAAAGAGTGAATACGTCTGCACCATTGTAACCGACCTCCAGCCATTTCACCAAGTCATTAACTGCTGATTCCTATCAATTCGAGGAAGCCAGCCAGGTAGCCTACACCTCTTTACACAGCTGAGATCGAAAGTCATGAGCTTCTTTAATTGATGCTACATCTTATTCTGACCACCGTGAACCCTCCATCAACTTAATTTAACTCCCCCTCTCCAGAAATGCAGCACGTGTATCACATATTCAAGCCGCCTTAGTCGATAAAGGTTCACAACTTCCTCGACTGGTTTTCTTTCCCTGCCTAGTACCCCACGCCTAAGCTTCACACTTCCCACATGGTAGTGCCACTATACCCCAGAAATCCTACGAAGACACCTACAATCAAAACCCTCAAACCGCTTTTACTTTGGACAACTATACCTCAGCCGTATAACAAGACAGAATGAACCGCATCACAGTAAACCAGTTCTTTAGTAGGTAGTCGGGTATTTCACCAGCGCCACTGGTGATGCAAGCTGGAAAATCCCATGCAGGAGAATTGCGATCAAGTTATCAACCATATAAGCACTGTGATATTGTGAATTACAGGTTACTTTTACTAAAAACCAGCTCGTTTTGTTTTACATTCTCCGAGAAATAAAGGTATAAAAATAAACTACATTACATTTCATCGAAAATCATGCATTTCCACTGTCAAATGGTTGCTTGGCAATTTTTGGTTGTCACAAAAATTAAGAAGTTTCCCGTTAGTGTATCCGCACTATTCACAACCATCTTCAAGTGACAAACTTCTTGACAAAGTTCTACGTTGATATGTCTGTGCATCATTATTCTGTGCTGAGTCACTAGATCACCTTACTTTTCACAATCCATAATTGACTAAAATATGTAGGCTGACTTTGCATAGTCTAGTACACGGTTCAAAAATGTAATCGATGAGGGCAAAAAGACACCGTATACGTCAGATATTTCAGAAAGTTGTTTAGAACTGAATAAATATGCTTGGCTTGTTGATTGCTATATTTTACTGAAAAGTTGGGCTTATTGTGAAAGCAAACATTGAATAGGTTTCACTTAAAAACAGAATTTATTATTCACGTGTAGGGACAATAACCTTAGACTTACAGAAGAAAAATATCAACAAACTTATCGGTCCTAAAAATACTTCATCCAAAAACACTTTCTTTGCAACTACTTTGAATGAAGCACCAACAAACACTTTATCCAACCAACTGTAATAAATATATTGATAAAACCCTTGGAACGATCCAATAGCACCTTGTCTAGCTACAAGAGAAAGCAAAAAAGATACGCTTCAGCACAAGCAGTGATAGAGTTTTATGTGTGACATGCCACTTATAAGTTCTGAATGAGATGAAATTCCAATTTTTGCAAACGTTTACACATGGGCGGTGCGTTCCACGCGTAATTTATCGACTAATTTTTACTAATCAAAGTACCTTGGGTCGTTATTTGAGTTCCCACCTATCATAATCCCTATACATACTGTGATTCGAGACACGACGTGAAATGAAACCCCATACAGCATGCACGCTAGGTGCATAAGAAGCTCAATGTAACAAACAAGAATATGGTAAAATGTAAAGGCCGTTTCCTTACGGACAGACAAAGTTGGCTTACTCATAATAATCAATTAGTAGACTCAAAATTGTTTCCAAACCAGTGCAATAAACACATCCTCTAATCCTTGGAATTCACAGGAATTTCAGACATCTTGGACCAATACGCAGGAGTCTGATGTCCCACACTGACTGGTTGATACCTTATCACAACAAGTCGTCAAAAATTGTGGCGCCTATATTAAGTGTACTCATTTGCTGAATGATCAGATGAAGACAGATCAAAATCACCTGGACCTTGTAGCTGTGCCTGAGCAACACAGTGTACATTCAGGACCCAAAATGTAAGTTATGGTTATTGAGGCCTGTTGTCTAGTTAATTATGGGTTTCACATGTTCAAATATCGAATGTATAGTTGGTCATATGAGTTCTAGTGATCACTAGCAATTGTAGCAAAACGAAACGTTGAGGAAAGTGCAGAGAGCATAGTGTTCATAACGGCGGAGGAAAAATGCAGTGGGAAAAGTAGATGAGGGAAGACACTAGTATCAGCAGCTGAAGAACTTCAAAAGACAATTGTAGAGAGGATAAAAAGAAAGATATGTGGTACTACGATTCACATAAAGCTTTTAAATAAAGGTCCCAGCGATGGTCCTTGAACCATAGCACCTAGATTGTCTCTTGTACCTCAAGCAGGAGATTTACACTTAAAATAGTAGTGTGATTCAGTAACTGTGTGAAGATTTGTGCACTAGGCGATGAGCCGAACCTGATATGAGGGCACCAGGCCTGAACCTCTATAGTTGCAACGAGATCTGGTCCTATGATTAACCTTTTGAGATTCAACTCCGTAGTCCAATATGCCAACAAGAGCTCTACATCAAGAATAGCAATCAATGACTTCGTGGGTTAGTAAGATATCTTGGTGTGACCCACCTCTTTGTTACAACTCAATCTTATTCCCGCTAAAAACTATCACTGGAGCAGGCAGTTAGTAGCCCATCTTCTTCAACATAAGAAGACCGCACCGAAAGCATGCAAGTTATCAGAAGTGAACACTTTACCGTCATCATCTTCCTGTCTCACCAGCAGTACAATCTCACCATAGAAACACCATCCCAATATCAATTTTTTAGTCACCACCATCTAGCATAACCGTTGGCACCTTCGGACCTATAAAAACTACTATCAATCGACACAACTCAATCAGCTCCAGAGTGTACTTATTTAAATAGCCCTGAGAATTAAACAATTGAAAGAAGGAAATTTCGACGTAACATTCCGAGAACATCTGGTGAGAAAGTAGCTGGAACTTGGTAACAAGAGTCGTTATTTAGCTTGGAGCTTGATTCAGTTTTCTGTGAATGTAATAGAAGACACACAAGAATTCAGATAAATTTCAATCACGGCAAATGGATATTTAAAAAAAAACTGATTTCAGTTACAAACCGAGCTGTAGCGAATAGTTTCTAAGCCTCTGATCCCTCATGAGTTGATTTGATAAACAAAGACCCACCGATTGACTCAATATAGGGGCAAGTCAGTCAGCATCAAAATAGGACATGACATAAATGCATAACGGTCCATATTGAGAAACCTTGTATAAGCACAACAAAGCAGAAGGCACGAAGATGAATCATAAACGGATGAGGCAGTAGGCAGTCAAAAGTGGTGGAAAGTCGGGAAGAAAAAACGGAAGGAAGGAAACTGGTGAAATTCGGCATGATGATTAGGATAACCTGCGTCCAACCTAAACCTACTTTAACTAACATTGCACGACTGAACAGATGGTGAATAGGCATAAAAACATGCCCAAGTCATGTGAGTCAATAAAGGTTCAGAAACTCACCAACTGACTTTCCGCTTCTGCTGAAAACTCTACGCCTGCCTTTTACGTCACTGACGTACTGGCACCACTACGAACGGTTTGTGTTACGAAGCCAATAGTGATCGAACGCCTCAACTCTGCATGACCTCCTCCTCCACCCATGTCTAACAGCCACATAGTAAGATAGAAAGAACTGCGTTGCGGTATATCTGATCCTCAATAGGCAACTATACATCACGGCGGTGCTATAAATAGCGTAATTCGACGGAATCCAAGACAGCCTTTTGTGTACGAGCAGAGGTTTCGTCGACCAATCACATGCTAGGATTGATCCAACTTACCAAGTACGTGAAATGGTCATCGCGCTCAACCACTTCATTGTTAGATGGGTTTTGGGTTTGGGTGGTGAAAATCTATCACAAACATTCTCAAATTGTTACTTAGTATATTCAGACGACTCCGCGTTCTTACCTAACAGAACTGGTATCTGTGTGCCATAGATTTACTAGAGAGTCGACTGTGACCAGGTCAATTCCTGTAAAGTCAGATGACGAGAGGGAGACTATAATTACATCTATGACAAAAGTAAAACCGGTAAAAGTGGACACCATTTTCGAGCACCAGTCGGTGTACGCAGCTCGCCTGAAAACTTGCCACAGGCTCGAATACGCCAATGGATTTTTAAATAAAAATCCGTCAACTGAGCAATGTACTTAACCTGAGAGACACAATGCCATAGGACCTCGCGATGGATGGAGTTGAATGCTACCTTCAGGTTGAGAAATGCAGCTGTGACGGGTGCCACTAACCGTCTGCGTTTTAATACCCAATGGAAAGGGAATAAGTGGTTCATACACCCACAACTATGTCCGAAACGTAGCTGGTTTTGTCAGGTCTGTTGTTCTCAACCCTTACGTATACAATAGTCAGAGAACATGCAGCGTCACTATCATACGTGAACTCTTCCCTTTTCTTGAAGACTGAGACGATTAGTGATTGAGAATAGTTAAAGGGGATCATATCTGAATCCCACAGCCATCACTCTGGTCAACCAAACCAGTAATCTTCGACCACCGTCCCTAAATACCACCGGTACTAATCCATTTCGACCTGTTGCCCTTTGTTCCACGCTACTTACAACCTTCAAGACTTCTGCAAGAGTTGGAGGTGTGTTCAGAATGTTCCACTTAGGATTCGACTAGATAAGAGATATTGGGGTAGTAGCTGGAGGACAGTTGACATGTGGCTCGAAATGTTCCACACATTGTTTCAGTCAGTACCCCTGCGAATGAATCGCAGACCAATCCTTTTCCGCGATATTCTTACTAACCACTGATATATTGCCCTAGTCTCTCTGACCAGAATAAATAACAGTCTACTGTTATCCATAGCTAAGGTCTCTGCCATCTCTTTAGCCTGCTCGCAGCCATTGCACAGACTTCTTGTCAGTTTAAATTTCAGTTGCTTCCCTCCCCCTGCATTGTGCTTGGAGAAATGGGTTCAAGAACATCACTTGTTTCATAAAAAGCTGTTGAGGTCCACTGACACTGTCTCATCTCTTTTGAGTCTGCTACGGTCTTTATTGCTGTTTTAAAGCACACTGAAAGACAGCATCCAGCTTCTTTGCGATGAGTGACGTTGTCCTGTTCCCATTACTGCCTCGTCCTCAACTTGCGCTCACAATCCTTTTGTAGCTTAAGATTTACAAACACAGATAAACGTGTGTTCGGACCAACACATGATCACTGGCCAAACATATGTTCTAGAAGCCGTCTTCCACTGATGCTCTCTAGCAATAACTGATAGTAATATGGTCTGTGTCCACCGCTGCCTTGTGACCAATGGAAACTACGTCAGGCAGTGTCTCACATTTAAGTCCAAAGCTTCTGCTACAGCAGAAATAGATGGTTCTCTGAACACACTTGTGGCATATGATGATCATCATTTGTTTGTTCCAAAAGTGACTTTCTATCCCACAGCCCACTCACTTATGTATTGAAGTCATCTACTACGATAACCAAGTATGAACGTTTGCCTTACATAATCAGGTCAGAGTTCCCCGTAGAATCTATTCTTCACTTCATCCCAAATGCAGTCAGTCACCAGGTGTGTAAATAGAAATTACAAAGAGACAACAATGAGTTACGATGTTCTTCTTAGTCGTCACTGCATCATTCAGTCGAACAATCCACACAGATGACTATCAACTCGGACCCAGTCTAGCAGTGCACTTCCTGCCTTGATGCTGATCTAATGCTATATATACACTTGAAAAACAACAAGAAGTAGATATCGAATCTGCGGAATATCACAGTGAACTATGTGGATCCATCATAGTGACCAGGTGATGTTAAGTGAATAGCCACAGCTGAGTTCTCTGTACATGTCTTACAAGCACAGCACACGTCCATGAACTGAGATATCACAGTATCACCTAGTTGTCCGATCTGATGGAGGGTGTGGGTAATCACAGCTTCAACGTGTGGTTTGGAATGCTGTTCCATGAACCCAAGTAGCAGTTATTAGGAGCTGCAGATCTGGATGAAACCAACGATGACGTGGAAACATTGACTGAGATGTAGTGAAAAATTCGAAGGGAAAGATTTTGAAAGTTAGCAATGGTCTGACGGAACTCGAGTGATGATGGAGTTGTGAGCCAGTTGGTGCTTTGATGCTGCCCACACTCTGGAAGGTTTCTTCATCCAGAAATGCCTGAAAAAGGAATTGTGTAAATAACAGTGGTGCGTGATCACAGACTACGAGGGACATCTGTTTGGCCCCAATCACACAACGCCTTTCTAGAAGTTTCAGAGGCAAGTTTGTTTATCCCGAATCTAGCTGTAAACCAACAATGCCGGAACCAAAATGCAGTAGAGAAGGTAGTGTGCTACCTTTGGGGTCAATTTTTTCTAACCCCCATCCACAACATCAATATGCTACTGAGGGTTATTCGTGGGAGACACCTTACTGCTGCTACACCACCGTCTATTCAGCAATACAACTTTGCCCTGGGACTTCGTCACAGTATGGTAACTAACACTAAGGTGGTAGCTGTTTTTTGTCTTACTACTATCCGAAGACAACTTCCTGGTATGCTAGGACCTCAAAGGAACAAGGGCTCCACCATTATAGTTCTTTGAATTGTTGCGAAATGGAAGTCCGACCACCACACCGAGTTTCATATTGCAAGATCTGACAGCGAAAAATTTGAAAATGGTCAGAAATTTGCGACAATTAAGGTGACGCTGAAGAATGATTCATGCGCAATGAAATTACTTTGAGATATCAGGCTTCAGGCATAAAGCATTCATGAAAGGGTTTCAAGCACTTGTTCAGATGTACACGCTAGGATAGGGATGCAACTATCACCTACCTATTTATTGTCTATCCTTCATGCAAAGAGGTGGGCGTCAGCTGGGAGAAATGGAAACAAACGGGAGTATTATGTCACATTTGTGATCTAGCTGAAGAAATGGTAACTAACCATTTAATTTGAGACGAGGTCTTCATCCAATAACCTCTAATGAACACAGTCTCAACAGTAAATTATTGGAACATAATGGAATAAAAGCTGTAGATATTGACTACAATGACATATTTAAGGCAGAGGTACTTCGGGTATGGAAAAATCAGGGAGACCGAATGAGCTATACCCAAGGCTGCTCAGAGAGCTTCCTTTCTACGTAGATGGCCAAGATGCCCACTTAACTGACGAACGCCATAGTCATACCTGTCCGCAAAGTCGGTTCTAGGCAAAACCCATGAAATTACAGGCTGATAAGCTTGACTAGTGCTGTAGATAAAATCCGAAGAAGAGTAATCAAGAAGGGAACTGCGGTCCACCTAGAGACCAACATCCGATATCATACCTTACTCCAGGTTGGAAGAGAAGATTCGAAATTGCTGGTAAAGTACTTGTATGGATCGCAGTTTCTTGTTGGTAGGGTAACAGTAAAGATCAATCCCCACCCCTCCCCTTGGAAGTGGTTATAGAGTGAAGTACCGTAAGGCAGACTTGGATCAGATGTAATTTTTCGTAGACATCAATGAACCACCAAGTGCCAAATCTTCCATGATTCTCTACGACGTAAAAATCTGACAACAAATAAGGGTGGAAATGGTGTGTGCAGACCCAAACAGATTGTTATCATGACTAAAGAAATGACTGGTGTTTATGAACGCGGATACTTGCATAACCATGCATATAAGACAATTTGGATGGAATAGGAGTAATGTCAGGTCTTACGTTGATACTGAGTGGCTGACATAAGGCATGGAGATGGCGAAACTCACGATATCGGTCGGAATCCCCAACCTTCATTACTGCCTCACCTAGAAGTCAGTCATGACTTGAAGACCACAGCGCACTGTCAACTGATCACAGCTTGAAGTTTCACAACACCAAGCGATAGCGACTTTCATCAGAATCAGTGGCGATTCATATATGCATACATATACATACTTCATAAAAGCCTAGCTGCGAAACCGTGCGCAAGTGGCATGTTCTTGTCTGAATGGTAACTCAGACCCCACAATTGTTTGTCTGGCCTATGAAGAGCTGAACCCCTCTATATCGTATACCAGACAAATGATTCAACTATGCCATACACGGCTCCCAAGAAATAACTTCGGACCTGACCTATCTTCTTCCTGCGTTCACACTAAGTTGCAACTTAGTGTTTCAAGGAGAACCTCGGAGAACATAACAGGAGTCCGAAGGCCGAGGACTGTTTCTTGCGTACAGTAGTCAACCCATAAAACTGACTTTCAGAAGAAATGGTGTCTGCCATCAAGCATAAATATCTGATGGAAAAGTACCAGGTATACTTGATCGGATTCCATTCATCGAAAATTAAGTCCTTCAAAACAACTTTGGCATGTTTGAAGAAGACTATCAAATCTTACCTATCTTATTAAGTTCGTAATTGGCAACAATATCTCTCCATGGTTTTCTGGCTTCTTGGGTTACTGTGATTGAAATCTTGCCACTAAGATTTTTCTCTTCAGGATGAGAGGGAGGGCTTTCATACCACATTTTGATAGACTGTGCACAAATCTCTCCCAATACCATAAACCCACCTCCAATCGAAAGATTTTTGATATATGGGTGGTATACATGTGGCTTGTAAACAAGTGGTGATCTCGCTACTTTACAGTTAGCCTTTCCATTGGGCTTTGCAGAATCCATGACAAAAATAATCCATCCGCGTATAACCCGAATGAACTAATGCTCACAAATGAAGGATTTCTGGTTGTCAGCTTTCAGATAAGGACATTCGTACGGAAGAGATTAACGGGTATCTTCGGTTCAAGTTGGCTGTGCACTTAAATGTCATTGCAGTTAAACCCCATTGGCGCGTCTTAGAGCGTAAATGAAGAACTTGGTTTTTGGCGGTGAGTTCACACATGTTTGCCACAATTTAAGATTGAAGCTAATTTTCATATTTGCTCATAATATCTCACCGTCTAACGTCGACAGCTAGTGGGAAAAACTGGCCCAGCCATCTCCAATATCTAATATGTATAGTGCGAGCGTAGAAAACTGACAGTTTTTGAGCTCTCGCTTCTAGTTCTTAGGGCTTGTTTCGAGTTATTCAGTTCACTCCTGCAGTTGATGTTGGTAGTACATTCCAATATCCAATACAGTTTGGCGAGCTTGTATAAATCAACTGGTTTCTTCAGCTCGCTTCTTGGTCTTACGGAGTGGTTCCAGGCCTTTGGTGGATCCTGGTGCAGTAGGTCTACCCACCTGTCTGCTGTTGCTTTGCTGTGCCGGACAGGTAGTTGGGTGTGGTTAGACTTGTAGCCATTGTGGGGTTTGTTGAAGGACGATGGTACAGATGTCAGATGTCACGGCATCAGACAGTTGTTTGGACTGGTTGCAAAAAGAAAACAGAAAGGATGAAAGAATATCCAGTAAAAAAAGGACAAGAAGTAGGCAAAAACAAGGTGGAAAGAAGCAGGGAAAAAGTAAAGGATCTTATGTGGAATCAGGGCAGATATCAGTGATGGCCAGAACTTTAATAACTATGGCACGACCACGGAGTCAAAGGGTGTGGAAAAGGAGCAAGTAAGATTATAGGAACAGAAGTACCAACATAATATTATGTTATTTAGCTTCAGATTTAGACTCAGATCTGTTGTTTGAGGATATGGGGCTGGAGGCCGATATTAACTCTTTTCCGGTAGATTTCTGTGCTTGCCCAATCCCCTTCTGAACTAGTCAACCGATGATTTAGACACCACTTCTTTTGTGAGTTGGTTCCAGGTGTTGATTGCTCGACAAGAAAACCAGTACTCTGCGGAGACTGTGTTACTTCTTTGCCTTTGTAGTCTCCTACTATGACCTCTGACGTATTCCGACCTGGTGAGAAGGAAAAGAGAAGATAGATCGGATCAGAAGTCATTTGTTAGAATCCCGCATAGCATGGTTAGATCTCCCCTCTGTCTGCGATAAGACAAGGTGAAGAGGTTCAGCCCCTCAAGTCAGCCTTCATAGGCTAGGCCAGCCATCGCAGAGATCATATGGGTGGCTGCCTTCTGAGCCCTTTCTAGAAGGTCCGAGTCACCTTTCAGACAAGGATTAGCCGCTTTCTAATTTAGCCCTTACCTAAGGATGCGTATAAGATGGTGAACATGTCACCAATTATTTCCGTAAGCGTTCTACTTAATGTCCAGAGAGTTCTTAAACTCCGAGCTGCTACCAATCGACAGTTGGTCGTGGTTTTCAAGTCATAACTCACCGTGCCCTCAGGTCATTGTGGGTCAGTACTGACGGTAAAGTAATCCCGTCAATATAGTAGGTGTTGCTGTGTGTGTGCCCCAAGTGCATGCTCACACGTTTACCTGTATTGATAGGCATCAGCTACTTACACGACCACGCAAACAAGCTGTTCACGTCTGCCTGAAGCGCACATAAATTCTCATCCTCCCAACTTCCCACCAGATTTTTACGTCGTCAGCGTGGGAAACAATAGGGGATTTCATTTGCGTATAAGAGAAATGGCAAGGGGCCTAGGGCTGTCCTGCGGTACTCCACTCCCTACCGACCTCCAAGTGGAGAATTGGGACTTGATCCAAACTCTGTCTCCTGCAAACGAGAAAGTCTCTGATTCATGCGAGCAGACTGCCAGTGGTTTCAAAACGTTTCAGTTTCCCGAGCAACCTGGAATGGCGTACTTTGTCGAACGCTTTACTGAAGTCAATGAAAATGATGTCTACAGGTATCTTATCATTTTCAGACCTAACCCAACTTTCTCTGGCTGTGGGAAGGTTCGCCTAGCAAGAGAAGTTTCTACGAAAACCGTGCTGTGAACGAGACAATAGAGTGTTCCTCTCTAGGTGGACTGAGACGGCTTTATTGATTACTCTTTCCAGGATTTTCACTACAGTGTTAGTCAAACTTGTCGGTCTGCAATTTGATGGGAGCCGCCTAGAACCTGTCTTGTGGATAGTTGTCACTATGGCATCGTTCCAGTCATAGAGTGTGCCTTCACTGATATACAGTCTGAATATATTAGTCGACGGGCCGGCTACATAGAGTGCAGTTGTAATATTTTCCCGGTAATTCACCGGTTAGGAAAACCCAGAATCATCCCAATAATCATTCCTTCGGGGAAATATTTTGCTGAAAACTGGGAGCCAACTTTCCCCTGAGTTCTGCCACATGTTTGAAAACAGGGTATGAATTTTTTCACGCCATGGACATCGAAAGGTCTGTGTTTCTACATATTTTGAGCTTTTTTGTGCCACTCACACCAGATAAATCTAGGAGCATTTCCGTCCACATCTAATCCCAATCACTTTTGGGGCTCGAGGTTATCTTTTGAAAACGTTTTTAATTTCTGAATGGGTTGCACCGAACTATATTTCGCAGTTGATCGCTTTTGTTGGGTTAATCGCAACTTAAGTCCTTCTGACCTGACTTGAACTGAATGTTTCAGTTAATGTACGGTTCTAGTCTAACCTTTCACTTATTTGTTATTAGCTATAACAATGTTTTCGGCCGACCGAACTGCCAATTCTTGTTGGCGAATGTATGCAGTATGATGCATGCAGATGTTGGTTTCAAAAAGTTTCCATCGGATTGACAGCAACCATTTATAGGCTTTGCAGCGAACCAGCTTCTCCCTGTCTACTTGACTTTTGCTGTAAGTCCCTGTAAACGCTGATTCAAGAAGCCGCCAAAATGACACTGGCCAAAACATACTCATTTCATATCCGTTGTCCGAGGATGGAAGACTATGCTGTAGTGTAAATTCTGTTATAGATGATCACTATGGTTCCCCAATCCTCTTTTGAAAGAGCCAACTGATGACTCGGACATAATTTCCTCTGGAAGTCGGTTACATGAGTTGATTACTCGACTGAAGAACCAGTACTCTGCAGAAACTACATTCGCCCTTTGCTTTCGTATTCCACTACCATGTCCTCTGAGGTCTCCCGACCTAGTGGTAAGGAAAAGAGAAGGGAAATCTGGTCCAAATTTATTTTTCAGAACCCTGTATAGCATGTTTAGATCTCCCTTCTGTCGGCGAAAGGATAAAGGGAAGAGGTTTATCCCTCAAGTCGATATTCACAGACACGGCCAGTCATAACGGGGATCATACAAGTACCCGACCTCTGAACTCTTTCTACAAGGTCTGAGTCACCTCTCAGACAAGGATTTGCCACCTGTGTACAGTTTTCTGGTCCAGACCTGACTAAGGGTGTGTATGATATAGTGAACATATCACCACTTATTTTTGTAAGCGTTCTATATAATGCCCACAGTGTTCTAAGAATCCCAACTGCGGTCGATAAGTGGTGCGGTGTGGTCTTCAAACCATGACTACTATGATTCCAATGACTACTACCCGTGTGGCAATGATAGCTGTCGGTCTAGTGAGATACCAAATTAAGACGTCGTAAGCCTTGTTGCAAATACGTCCGACATGGAACCCAAAGGTGGACTTGTTTCGCATATTACCGACTTAACAAGTGACACTGCCGTACCGGTTCCGATGCCAAAATGACGTTAGTGAAAGCCGATTACATCGAAATAACAACTATAGTAACTGAAAATTCGGCGAAAGACCGTTCCTCCATAAACAACATTGGATTCGTCCAAGAAAGCACTCGAAGAAGCTTTTAGTTTATCACTGAAACTACTAAGCTTACGTGACCTTTTGGGATGTCTTCGAAGGTCGTCAACACGAGATCCATGGACGTCCTACCAAAGTCTAGTGCTCTAGAGTCGGTGAACAAATACCCTTCGGTATGTGGTAACCTGATCTGAAGCTGGCGGAGTTTATCACCAAACAAATCCTGCCTGAAACGTCCAAAAGAGTACGCGTCACCAAAGTGGTCAGGTTAGGGGGGAAAAGCAGCAAACCCAGTGAGAGGATGATTTAAGGGCTGTTCTTCGCAACAAAGAAATGGGCTTACTCCTGAGTAACACACAAGCTACGAAGTTTAGACGCCAACGTCCAATCAGACTGACCTTTCGAGGGCTGAAGTAAAAGAAAGGAAGTTAGTGCTCGAAAAATGGACGCAGATAATAGCCTTAAAACCGTGGGTTTTCGGGTGATGAGTTATTTGTGACGAATATTTCCAAGACCTGTATAGGTGGGTCATGGAATTCTTCAAACTGTGAACGCGATCTACCCCAATGTTCACAGCGTCGGGGACAAGCTGACAAAGATCGAGGCCTTAGTCCGTGAACTAAGTCCTGGTGCGGTGGTTATTACCGAAATCCAACTGATAAAGGACTTGGATTTTACCCAATTTTAATCACAGCACTACTGCTTTAGGACCAATATAGCTGTAGGTCACACGGCCGATGGGGTACTAATAGATTTTTGAGATGGTGTCCACACACGATCAGTCACTCGCGAACGCGGCACCTGTGAAATGGTTTTTGTGAGTTGAAGTCGAAGAAAGTTCCCTTACCATCGGAGCAACTTACCACGGCCCATCATGCCTTGACTTCGTACTAACTCACATACCCAAATAATAATAATATATATTTCACACAACACAGGTTATATGAATACAAACCAGTCTACAGGTTTGATCATTTTGGTAACGGGAAATGACTATTATGTACAATGTTAAGCTATACATTAGATACTGTTATTCATGGCATATAAGAGGTGTGCTGAAGCAGGCTCAGTTCGAAACTAGGAATTATTCGGTTATTGTTTGAAT